TTTGCGCAGTAGCAGCCAGACCTTCCATGCATCACCCTGGTTGTCTAGATCAACTGTGAACAGGTCCTAGAACCGCTTTTACCACGAGCCAAACCTCACGATGCCATAGGGATCGTACAGGAACTTGGAGATGCTGCCAGCGACCTAGTCTACCGATTGGAAATTGCCAATGGAAGTTGATTGAACTGAAGAACTAGAGAGCTTTATGGTTAGTATGAACACAAGCCTTAGCTGCTATTTCAGCATATGTTTTAACTCGGCATACTCTTCTGACATGGTTGGAAAATATATACCGCCCTAGTTGGTTTCGACGGTCCTAGTCAGAACGGAACAACTCTTACACTCGTTGTTTTCCACGCGTAGATTAGCCTAGACTATCCAAATTGGAAGGGCTAATGGACGTAGCCGGCAGACGTGAACTCATAACTGAGAAAACGGACGGAACGAGTAAACGCCGCACAACTATATCGAGACCTGTAGAAAGAAGACTGGCCAATAGTAAGAGTGCTTTTGCTGACTCAAGCAGGGTGACTGTGCTTTGTACACCACCATATTTATAGTTAACGAAAACAGTAGTAATTGTGGAAACTATAAGTGAAGGCGCATGTTGGCAACTGAGTTGCCATGTAGTGGCCCTATCTCTGGACAGAGATGGAGTATGGGAGATGCTGTTGGGAAGTTGGACACATCACAGTTGTTGAGCATGCTCGGTAGCTAAGGCATTGGCATAAACAGCTCAGGAAGCAGACTGTTGACTTGAGAAGAGCCCAGTAGATACAGCGGTGACACTGGGGCGGGTTCAGTGGGAACGGTGCAGAATACGTGGGCCGCGTTTTCACCGAAGACAGCTCATTTGTGATCTGCGCAGATGAGTGGACTCTTGGAGGCAGTTTCGGTGGAGAGAGATCCACTATGAACAGCGTAGTTTCGGTCTCTGCATAACAACCGTGTTTTTCGGGCCCGATAGTATACTGGCGCCAGTGAAGGTCGCGTGAGTTTGGCAGGGATGCTCCAGCGCTGTAGCAAACGCACAAAAGGAACCGTCCACCAACTAATTCAAAGTCGGGTTTGAAGTACCCAACCTGTGGCTGGATTGCGATAGGCAATCTCTATTGAGACTTCGGTCATTCCGATCACAAGAACCGTATCCGCAACACCTCTATTTGGAATACGGTCTTTGTGATTGAAGTGACAGAAGTCGACTACAAAGTGGACCGAAGTCTCAATAGCGATTGCGTGTCGTAATCCAACCATATGGCAGGTACTCCAAATCCAAGTTAAAATTCCTTAGCGTTGTGCCATGTGTTGCTTACGGACTTTAGTGACGTAGTGATCAAGGCGTCGGCCGTTAACCACTAGGCCCCGAGTTCCACCCCAGCTCAGGCTATATCCAACTGATAAGTCCAAAAGAAAACGAAACCGGTCATTGGGTGTAAGTGTTGGGAGGAGTAACACGGTAATACATACACCAACTATTCCAGAGTCATCATCATCATCATCATACACGTTAGCTAGAGGTGGGAAACACCTCAGCTACTGTGCCGCAATATTCCAGAGAATTACCCATGATTGAATGCGAGCGAGATCCCATCAAAGTTCACAGTCAAAAAGCGCCAGATAATGCTTCCACGATTCCTAGGTGACCGGGAGATATGGAGGAGATTGATGCAGTGCGAGGTTCATCGACAGCGTTAGAAGGCTGCGCGGGGACAGGGGATGCACAAACCACTCCAGATGTATTGGCGTATGGAAACATAAAGCCGTAAACTATGTTTGGATCACAGTCGGGGCCACGAAATTGACGGTGGACGCAGTTCCTAGTCAATGGTAGAGAAAGATGACAGCGTCTGGAAGATAGATCAGGGCGTCGCTAATGCCATGCTCATTGTCATGAACGTGTAGAGTTCAGCACCGTATTGGAATTGTTCCTATTCTATACCAACTGACTTTCACTGAATTATTTGGATTGAGGATAGCGAAGGGGAAGAAGGTTAGTTCCGGCTGTTAACCCTCTGTAAGTGGGGCCATCGGATCTACCGCACCAGAGAGGACCACTTGAGCTCAAAAGACCGGAGACCGGTGTAAATACTGTGTTCCCTAGCGTGCATGAAGTCAGGCATAAAATCCGTCTTATGCCATCATGGAGAGATATTTGTGGATTTGACATGGAGTTTAACGGACGTTTCGTCAATTGGTCACGTTTGGCTCGTTTGTTAAGCCGACAACACGTGCCAACTTGCCTGACGTGATTTCTCTATTCAATCTACTCTCCACCACTCGTGCTTTTCGAATCCATATCCGCCACGCACGTTAACGCCCCAGGATATTTGCTGTGAACAGCTAACTCCCTTTGGAGAGAATCCGATGTTGCGCACTCCTAACATTGCACTCCATAACTGGTTTCGTCCTTCTTTGGACTCATCAGGTAGAGATCGCAGCAGATGGGAGTGCAACTCGCGAAATGTTGGCTGGCGGATGACATCTTGACCCCTAGGCCATTGAGATCCGTGAGCATTTGTTTGATTTCACTTGATATACTAGTCCTGCCTGCTGTACTGGTCCCATGGAGCCAGGTAAGGCATCTGACCACCATTGAGTGTACGTGACTTGTCTAACTCGATTTGCAACTGTACACGCTTGTCTTTTTTCGGCTTAACACGTCTAGCGTCAGGTGCATCAAGTTGCCTACCGGTTCGATATAAGCGCCTGAGAAACGTGTTGGTCGTCATTGTGCGCGGTCAGTGCCACATGCGAATTGTTTCTTGTGCATCTGCTTTGTTGGAACCCAATTTGGCTTCGTGTCATTTGTAGCTTGTTTAGGGTGGGTTTTGCTCAACAGAACCTGATAACGAGTTTTGTTTGATATTCTCTCTGATAGTCTCTCTTTGATATTCTCCCAACCGATATCGTGGCCAAATCCGACTTTGAGTTTTGAATTGACCCGGGATCTCCACGCGTTGCCCAAAGCCCAAAGAGGGGTCGTGGCTTTCATGATTCGTCCCCGGTGGGACTGTTTGAATATCAACTAGCCATGAGCCAAGCCTATAACATCATGGCAATATTGCGGGCCAGTAGACACGGCAGTAATTAACACTGGGGCTTGGTTAATACACAAGAAAAATAGCCTCGCTAGTGAAGAATATTCATAAGAAGTGAGAGGGGGATCCTCAAGTCAAGTCAAGTCAAAATAACTGCCATGTGCCCTAAGAAAATAATCGGGGTTAAGTAAGCGGCGCTTCGCCGCAGTTAAATCCCAGTCAAACAGCCTCCTGCGCATAAGTAATCAAAAAACCACCCGAACAACTTGTAAATGCTATGCCGTGCATAGTTGCACTGTGAGTCGTAGCTTCAGGGGCCAAAGCTTTCGCCTCTACAACGTAGTGGATTATGTGCCGCGCTACATCGTAGTCATGATGATCTGCCGTCGTCACCCATGGACTGATGGCGCAAGCCGCTAGTGCTGTCAGAGACCCGGTTCCTGGCGGAGCTGGACGATGTGCACCACTGACGAGTCCCAATGGAACGAAACGGCTGCATAGCATTTTTATGGATGAGTGGGGGCTGTATGACTGAGAGATGACTGCGACTAAGCATCCTGACTTACATAAAAAGCCATGTTCATAAAGAATCAGGATTAGAGGACTTCCGTATTCCCAACAACGCATAGACACAAACGGCTGGCTATTGTGAGAGGATGAGGTAGCGTAAGTGAGACAGCTTCCTTGCACCTCAACATTCATTCCGCATATACCTCAGTACCACACAAACCTAAGACAGGTAATCCGGTAGGGGAATGTTAGCAAGTACCCCACTGGTGCTAGCCGTGGGCAATAGCCACTTCTAGTGCTTGAGATGTTGCAGATGCAGAAGGATAAGTAAGCGTCTGTTTTGTTGGTGAGCGATGGTTAGTAGTGAATTGTAACATCGGACCAATCGTATCACAACACACAGCTTGGGTAGCCAGGGCCCATACTACCTATCAGTGTATTGGAAGCAGGTTGATTCTTAGAGATGATCAAGTAGACTGGAGATAGTTAAGCATTTTCGTATTGATAAATGACATAAGTGTAAAAGCTGCTGAAGATCTTGGTTCGTCCATACTTCGATGGTCAACGGAACAATGACAATTCCAAGTATTCGTATACCCCTGATCCAGAGATTTAGGAAAATATCCTCCGATCGTCTAATCAAGTTCTTGTCGCCTCGTCTCAGACGATACGGGTACATGTGTTGACCGAAGTGCCAAGTTCAAAACTAAGACCCATTACGGACAAACGCGCGGTTCTGGGAGCTACCTGGGAGGCACTTCGATGGGAGTCGATGGCATACCTAAATCGGATGCAGTACTCAGGCAAGGAAAGGTAGACTAAAGTAGCGACGGACACACAAGGATGCGAGGATAGCTCTGCGTGGCAAACACCAAACGCTTTTTGAAATAAAGCTAAATCAGCTCCAGAAGGTGCGGTGGTATTTGTGGATAAGAGTGCTTATAATGAGGAATAGTGGAAACCGTAAAGAGGCTGTCTCCTTGATACCGCCTTTATCTTCGCACTATAATCAGTTGCTTGCGACCGTGTGGTATTGACAAGGTGTGTGTCTCGACCCTGAATGGTTGCTTAGGACATTAGGGGTTTAAAGTAAGTGATTTCCCTTATAATAATCCACATTCCCACGGTTGTAGGGAAGCAAAGAACCAGCTCAATTTAGGGACGTACTCTCGTTATTGATAACGATGATGAACACTACAACTTTGATTGCGAACAAAGTTCAAACACTGAATAATGAAGTAATGTATGGTAGCAACCTGGTCAGACCATCAACGAACGATTAGAAAGAGCTGAATCGCGCGTTGACCCACAGGAAGGGATTCCGGTAGGAGAAAACGATCGTTTCGGGGATATGGTGCCGGCTAGGTAAGCGATGAGATGCAGATGACTAAGCATGCATGCTGAAAAAGGGGGGAATTTTCCACAAAAAACAAATGAGCCAACCGTGCTCACATGAATCACCGATTGAGTCCTCGTCTGAGGATTCCGGCTGCGCCGATAGCCCGTATGGACCATGAGTGGGAGCGGCGTCGCTGTACTCCTCAAGTGCAACGTCTTTCGGCCTCAATCGGCCGATTGAATCTGAAGAGGCGGCCCGACTGGCGCTCAAAGAACTGGAAGACGGACGAAGTGGAAGTATTAGGTTTGTGCGTTCGAGCTGGCGCGGTCTTGTGATGATAAAAGCATCGGCCAGCTGTTCCGAGTTTCCGGGCACTTTAAGATGGACTGGAGTTTGCACCTCAGCAACCCGAATCTTGGGAACTCTGGTTTGTCTAGTCGGTTGAGTTGTGTCAGCTTGAATATGGCGCACATCAGATCCTTGGCCCATCGCAGCCAAATCAGTATGCGAGCCCGTGGGGCTTGTGGTTGAGCTGCTCGACTGCGAATCAGATAAGGGGAATGAGAAGCGATAAAAGTCAGGATATGCGTATGAATGCGGAAAGACGAGATCTAGACCAGCGAGGAAGGTGGTTGCCAGTAGTACGGACATCGTACTAGACTAAGCAAGTGCACAGTGACCGAAATCCAACATGTTACCAGAAAAATCAGTATATAATGGTTACACACTGTGCTGAGAAGCACTATTAGAGTGGTTGGCAATAAAGGTTTCACGTAACGCAGAAGTACAAGAACCATGATGACGAGCTTCTTACAAATGGTGAGGAGGCCGGCATTTGATGTAATCATGTTAATGTGACGGAACGTGTCAACGCGATGACGACAAATGTAATAAATTATGATGTGACTGAAAGGAGTCGAAGTTTCACGGAGTGAAATCTGAATCGGGTGAAACACGTGTTTATAGCTGACAGATTTGTAGTTGTAGACAGCTATCGCATGAGAATAAAGTAAGAAGGATGCAGTCTATATTCCATCATGTGAACCGCCCAGAAAGTGCAAAAAGAGTCGCGGACAAGTAAGCAGGCATGGTGTTGGTGTCAGTAGTGCCAAGCACCACAATACGCTCAAATCACTTGAATGGATGCAAGATTGATCAACCGTAAGCTTCGTCCTCTCTCCCAGGTTACTGTCCCCAGTTAGACGGTGTTTAGCTATTTCCAAAGCGTCGCATATTGGCACGTTGGGAAAGAGCAAGCTAACCTCGAAACTGACCACCATTTCATTAGACTTAACCTGAAGACCCAACATCTTTCTCGCAAAGTCATAAGAGTTCTTTACGAACGTATTCGTTTGCACTTTCAAGGGTTGCAATATGCTAGCCAAATATCTAGCTAGTTCATGCGTCGGGGAACCTATGTCATCTACAATAGGTCGAATGGGTACATCGGGCATATGTCTCTTCGGTAATCCATACACTCTTCGTGGAAGAGATGATTTCGGGTATGTGCTGTACCATTTTCCAGGTCCGAGATGCTCCTTTACGTTCCTTAAGTAAGTACCTACCTCTGTCTTATCCTTATTCATCACTGACATGACGGACTTATTGTCCATAACCTTATATGGTCCCGTCACTAAGTGCTCCTCCATTTATTCCAAGTAATCTGACTTGTTCATTATCACGGTGGTTTTGTCTTTATCGGCCTTTGTGAAAAAATGTTCCGATTTGCTTTTAGGGCTGTTACTGCGACACGTTCCTCTGGCGCAAGATTCGGTTCCTCCGGCTGCTGAAATTTTATAATGTTTACAAGCTCTGCACGAATATGCTCAGCCGTTGAAGCGGGTAAGTACGTTAAAGCAGTCTCCACACTAGGAATAAGTTCTACGGCTCTTATCTTGGATTTGTTGATAGTAAATGTCAAACCCTTCTCCAGTAGTCTACGCTCTGTCTCACTCAACATTGTCTGAATTAGTAACTAGGCTACAATATCTTGCTAGCTACAGGCTTACTAGTTGGACCGGTGGTCTTACTACTTAAGGACATCAAATGGTGGAATTTACGGATTTGTCTTTCTTTTGTAGTCCTACCTTGCGTTGACTTCACATCCGAAGCTTTGTTGTAAAGCCTGTCATAGTCTGTCTGCGTTACGATAGTCTGCAACTCCGAGCTCAGTCGATTTGCGTGGAGACGGACTTCACCCAGGCGTCGAGTCGTCAGATAAACCTGCTGTTACAAGAATGCATTACTCGCGTTGAAAGTTAGTTTGGCAGAAGTATAAGAGTTGTCCGATGGTTTGACTACAAGGTTCTGGGGTATGACGTTGTTTTGGGGGCAATTGACGCTGAAAACGGGGTGATTCACTCAATTAGCCTTAAGGCCAGCCAATCGGACGAATACACTTGTCAATTTTCAAACGTGTGGTCCGTTAAGGCACACAACATCTTGGAAAATATTTGGAACCGATCGAGAACTCATGATTTCAGAAAGGTTTGAAAACAACCGGTTGGTATAGTTTGTGGACAACGTTTCGCTTTCAACACAAAAGCTTCATCAGGCAGAGTGAACCAGTCGAGGATTGGTATAGCACTTATAGCGAAGTGGGATGATAATCGCGACGAATGGGATGTAAGCAGAAGGTCACTCGCGTTACAGGTCAACGCATCACTTCCACACACTAATTGGAGTGATGCGTTGACCAGTTACGCGATTGACCTTCTGCTTACATCAAATTCGTGGCGATCATCATCCCAGTTCGCTATAAGTGCTATACCAATCCTCGACTGATTCACTCGGCCTGATGAAGCTTTTGTGTCAAAAGCGAAACGTTGCCCATAAACTATACCAATCGGTTGTTTTCAAACCTTTCTGCAATCAGGTGAATGGCTTTTAAATCGGTGTTCATAGTTGAGTCATTTTCAGTAAGCTCCTATGGAACAAAGGTTGAAGTGGGAGAGAAGCACAGTATGCAACGGAGCCACCCACCACTCAGTCATTAGCAGTTGTGACAAGCTTTGCTCGTTGTGACCAAGGGTGACCAAAGGAGTGGAGGTTTTGACTTACAACCCAAAATTCCAGGGATAGATATTTGTTCTCATTTTGATAAGAACAAACAAGATGGAAACCGGTCGTGGGGTGAGGTGCTTTCGGGAAGACAACACCAAACAACCAGTTGCTTCATTAATTACAGCCCCAATGATAGCCTTGACCAAGGTCCACGTCATTGCAAAGCGCAGTTCACATGGAGTTTGCGAGTCGCAATCTACGCACACAAAGTGTTTCAAAATGAGGCACCAAAGAGTAGGTTAACTTACCGCGCTGAAGCAAGAGATATCGATTTCATCACAGATAGTGGTGTACTCCTTGTATGTATAGTCCTGACCGCGATAGGAGGCAGCTCGAGAACGCCCGAATGAAATTCTGTGTTTGGAATACCTGAAGGAGGATGAGTGCGCAAAATGAGCGGAAGGTGGAGACGAAAATTAGGGCATACCTCTTTTAGCACACGAGCTAGGTGAATGTATGTATTGCGCTTAAGACAGTATGGAGAAATTCCCTTGAGCGGCAACATCCCTCATGTTTGACCATTGACACTTTAATTGGTGGTAACGTTGATGACGGCCATGAAAAACCACTACCTGGAGAATGCATATCTAGGTGAACATGTAGAGGACTGAAACTACCGGGACCATAGAGTTCTTGGTTTGTTTCCATAGTGATAGCGATTATATATAAACTAATCGGAGGGAACTTCGACGAGTAATGAACCCATGGCAGATAGAAGTCGAGGTGGGCCATCAAGATGAAGAACTGCGTATATTGCTCCCAACACAACACATTGATGAGCCAGGGACATCGTACAAAAGTCATGAGTTTACTAGGATCTGTCCTATATGATAGGATGTTTGCCTAAGCTATGTGCCGTGAAAGTGTTTATAATGCAGTCATATATTCAATATTTTTGAGCACCTTACACCTAGTTTTACGTCGTCGCCCCGTTCATTGTATTGGGTAACCAAAATCTTATTAGCCGATAAGCTTTGCTGAATGAACGGGTGAGCGGTTATTTCTTAGGGTGAGTTACAGTAGTAGGTATGTTCTCATAAAACTTGTCGACCGGTTGTTATCTATCTAGCACCAATAAGATCGCACATTGGGAGCATGAGACTTTGAGGAATGGATCGCGATGCACAATCTCAGTCGGAACCGCGATTCACTGAATTGAACCTTGGTCGATTCGGTCATTGGAAATATATCTGAAGCATCAAGCATTTGTCTGCTTCAGATGGGATCCCAGCAACCGAATCTATCAATGTTCACTTCTACGTGAATTGCAATCCAATAACACAACGAGTCCTTCAACATTACCCTCCAATCGGCCAGTAAGCATTATGACAAGCGTTGCACGTCGTGGCCCGGTGGTCAGAGAGGTAGTGCTTTCGGCTACTACTCCCGTGGTCGCGCGTTCGAGGCCTGCTATCTCTATCTGATGGGAACAAATCAGATTGAAACGCGTCGTGGTTGTGCAATAGTTTCGGGAGGGAAACACCCAATTTCCATCTGCTTCGGCTACGGTCCTAGTGGTCGCAGTGACCAAGGTTCACTACGATGTGAATCGCGGTCCAAATTGAAATTGCGCGTCGCAAGCTATTCAGACAACGCGTGCTTCAAAACGACCCACAAACCACAGACATTAACTGCCCTGCTAAGCGTTGCTCACCGTAACCCGGTGACCGAAGGGGTAGCGGTTTCGGATGGCATCCAATGACTCCGAGTTTGAATCGCAGCCCAGCTATCTCTACTTGGTGAATACACACATAAGTATGAGACCGATCGTGGAGTGCAGTTCAGTGCTGAGAGTGGGAAATATCCAGTATTCACACGGTCCAAAGTGTACATATGTACTCGTTGGTCCCAACTTGGAGCCAACTTGTAGCCATGAGTAGCTCAACGTGCATCAGTGAGCGTAACAACTGCGTTTAGTCGGTCTGAACAATGCAAGTTGCATCGCTGCGATGAGAGTGAGGCATGTGCAGGTGCATAGCATTACGTCTCCGGTTGATAAAAATGGTTTGCGAGCTGTTGGGACGAATAAGTAGAAGTACACCAAAAAGCCTCCTATTCATTAGTAATCAAACCTCCCGTCACAGTTTTCAAATGTTGTGTATCGAAGTCGTGACGTCTGTAATCCTCTGCAACCGCAGTAGACCTGAATGGCAGTGGAGGATACGTTGCATTATATCCCAGTTATTTTGTAAATTGTGACGGTCTGCCGCCGTACCCCACAGTTCAGTGGCATAAGCTGCTTGCTAGTTGGCGCAAGCTGCTAGCGATCATGGGTTCGTTGGAATGGGCATCACTGACGAGCCCGTCTTGGGTGAAACGATTGTTCGGTGCTTTTTAGCCTTGTGAACTACTGGGAGGAAGAAGTAAGAATTCATCAATAACCCTCCTACTTATGGGTAAAAACGAAGTAAATCGATGCATTCCAACTCAAAGTGACGTGAAATTTGAAGCTATGTCAATGTCTCATATACAGTCAATGTGAAAACACTTCAAGACGACCCAGCTAGTTCCCACTGACAAGATGAACAGCAGTGGCTTCAGAGAGGAGACTGTCGCATTAAAACTAGACTTTAACGTGGTGCAACAGTGTACGTACCTTGATCCACCAGGTATTTTGAGAACATTTTCTATCAGGCTAGTTAATGATTGAACAGCGAAAGAAATCAACCACTAGGTTATCCAGGTTTGTAGATGGAAGTAATATGGCCCACTGCCATATCCTTGCTGCCTTGAAGTCGGAGCTTCGAGTCAAAGGCTTCGGACGGGTGTCCCAATTGTTCTCATGGATAGGTTTGGGGCGCGTTGACAGTATCTCAGTCCACATACCATGATGAGTTGGGCATTAAATTTCAATCTCAAGCTGTATCTGCCTTGGTGCGGGTTCGTAGGGTGGCCCTATCCGCTGCATATAGCGGGATGGGGGAGCAGAAACACGAGGTTGGCTAGTTCCTCTCTCACTCCCGGCTGTTTCTTGTAGGCTGTTCGCAATCCTCTATCCCACAATTTTTCTGGTCTCTAGCGCAAGTATTGACGGTCGCAGTAATACTGCAGTTCTGCATTTAAAGCTACGTTCCCACAACGTCCGCCCACTTTTAGCCAACAACAAGCAATTTTCAGATCGTGCTACTGTGGTTTCTATGGGGGTGTATAACATTCATCAACAGACTCCATTTGGATCCGCAATGGATACCCCAAGTGCCGGTTTTCCCAAAGCAGAATCCGCGACTCACTCGCGGTTAAGGAGTAAACTGCATTCAACTTGCTCTCAAGCTGTTGGTCGCAAGCATTCGGAGAAACTTATGCAACAACCAAGACTCTAGTTAGAATTGACACCGTTCTTAACGGTCGCATAGCGGACAGAACCGATGGAGTCCATTGCCATAATTCGGGATTAAGCGGAGAAAACGAGGAGGAAAAAAGAGCACTCACTCTGCGTAACGGTCGGCACCGGGTTGTGAACCCGCGGCTAGAAGTGAAGCAGAAGGAGCGGAGGTACGTTGTTCACGCGATGCACGATGTCGAGTGCCCCGGCTTGAAGGTGAGGGAGAACGTTCATGGACAGCGGAACTCCGGCTGTGCTGAGCATGAAAAGATGGAAGACGCCGATTTTCCGCAGACTGAGCTGTGAATAGCTTAAGGCAGTTAGTCAACCTTTCCAGATCTGAGTTAGGGATGTTTGCTTCCTGTTGACTGTGTTGCTGTACTGTCTGAGGAGTGGGGTCGCCTATAACGTAAATGACGAAAAACGATGATCATAGCTAACATGATGAGTAAAGCAACGAGGACGGACAGCTGTTGAATAACAAACACCTGGGTCCGGAACTAAAGGATCGACAAGGAGATCGAGTTTGATACGACCATGGTTTCGGATAGCGAAACATCGATTAGGACCCTCATAGCTCAGCAGTGACGACCAAAAGCGCCTGGGCTCCATTGGACCGACAGTGCATTTCCATACAGTCGTCCTCGTCCTAATTCATCAATTGGAAGCAACATCTGGGGTACATTAGACATAGAACGCTGAACTGATTAGGTGGCTGGCGATGAACTGCTGATCAACGCGGCTGCTATTAATAGCAATGTGCTTGTTCGTTACAGAGCTCATGCGTGTGAAATGTTAAACTTTCCACTTTTAGTCTAAGTATGATGGTTCTCCTCCGTTTCCAGTTGAGAACCTGTCTTGTTAGCGTGTTCGACGAGATGCCTCACGAACAGGAGTAGTAGATCCCTAAGAAAGACTGGTACTTGATGTGCGCAATGAAGACTACAGTATTCTAAATTCCAGCTGCTAGCCGAGTCGGATGGATGATATCACCAGTTAACAGCGGTTTTTGTGCCAGAGATATTATAGTGAATTTAGGGTAAATTAGTGTTACTGATTCGGAATATGGCCCCGGTTTTGTAAGATTGGCTCTACCTTTTGAGATATAATGCATGTACGAAAAGGTTTAATAGGATAGAAAACAAAAGAATGTTTAGTCTAACAATGATATAGAAATTGTTGCTTGCACTACAACGACAGATACAGTGAATACCTAATGGTTTCGTATAAATGATAACCGAGAGAATAATTTACTCATAACAATTAACTCCTAAAAATGGCTGTTTGTACGATTTCCTGCTGTGCGGTTCATCTAGAAGGTCACTTAGGATGCTCCAGTAGTAGCTCGCAACCATGTGTCACACCACTTGATTTTATACCTTGTTTATCATTTGAATGTTCTGATGTAATCTCTCCAGATCTTCGCTGAAGTCACCATGAGCATCCGGGAATTTATCTGACTATTGAGAACTTGTAACTTTATACTCTTGTTACGACGCATTGTTTCAAAAGTTGCAAGCATATTCCCCACCAATACTTCATAGTTCCTTGCTTTGTGATTGCCCAAGAAGTTCTGGACAACGCAGACAAAACCATTCCAAGCGCCATGCTTTAACCCTGTTCATACATTTGAATTATTAATGAGTTATCGAATTTGAGAACCAACAAAGAGACCAGTTTTCAGTTTCTCCCTACTTACTTTAAGGGATGATCTACAAATGCACTTGAAACTAGCACTATCGTTATCCAGTAACTTAGTAAATTGATTTCTCAGTCTACTTTATATGAAGTGGTGGGAGAATAATGTAGCTCTGATGTTCGAAGCGCCTAAATTCGCATCTTTGTTGGCAGACCGAGACATTTTCTTTCAACAATGTTGTTTAGTCTTAGTGTCCTAAAACCAAGAATACTTTACGTGTCCATTTTGCTGTCAAAGCAAAAATGCCACCACCTTTAAATGCACGTAATTTATCCGGCATTTATCGCAGAAATCGAAGCCTTTCACATTGACAGCACAGAAATATCAATCATGGTGATGCCTTATCCGTTCTCTCTAAACCATAGGCACACTAAAACTCAAACCCTACTTTGCACTAGTTGTTCAATTTCGGAAACACGTGACACAGGTATTGCAAACCTTCTGAGGAGCGCAGGACTTTTCCTGACATCCATGCTTTACCCCAAAGTAACTGCAGTATGCTTGACGCACAGCGGAGTGATATTTTCCTTTGTTCTGCCAAGAGGAATATATATATATATATATATATATATATATATATATATATATATATATATATATATATATACATGCGCCCCTGTGCTACCACTGTACAAGGGCAAAGGAAGCCAGCATGTTGCACGAATCATCCTGGCATCAACTTGCTGCTAAGTGGGAAAGGTGTTTGCCCGAATCCCGCGCAACCACCCTGCCAGTCAGGTTGTGGAACTGAACGTGGCGGGGAGCAATATGGATTCCGTTCGGAGTAAGTTTGTAAGTTAATAGAATGTCTACACAGTGATATGCTGGTAAGGGTGCGGCTGAGTGGAGAGACCTCGGATGAGTTTAAAGTTGTCACTGGTGTGAAGCAAGGCCGTATCTTAGCTCCTGCCCTGTTTAATAGTTATCTTCATGCATTGATATCTTGTGCTCTTAATGTGACTTGTGCTTAGGGTGTTCGTGTGGAGCCCCGTATTGATGGTGGGTTGCTGCACATTCGTCGTTTCGGTGTGAGAACCCTAGCCTGTGAGACAACTATCGGTATGTTGTTGTTTGCTGACGACTGTGCGTTGTTTGCACACATCGCGGATGAGTTGCAGCACATAACTAGTGCTCTGGGTTCGATAGCGTCCAAATTCAGCCTCACCATCAACAGAAACAAAACTGTCTGTCTTCTTCAGCCTTCACTGTAGGTGCAACCTGCAATGGTGCCGCGAACCAGCATTGTGATGAAGTATGGCAAACCATCTTCTGCTTATGCTACCCTGGGGGTGTGGTTTCTACTGATCAGCAACTACACAGTGAGCTGCGTATCCGCGTCTCGAAGGCAGCAGCGACATTCGGAAAGCTTGCGTACCGAGTGTGGAACAACCAGCAGCTTATTGTCGGCACGAAGTTGATGGTGTACAAATTCATGGTGCTGTCCGTTCTCCTATACGGTAGTGAAACGTGAACAACGTACCGGCGAGATGTGAGACATCTCGAGCGGTTTCCTCCACAGTGTCCGCGACGGATTCTGTGCATCGGATGGGGCGACAGAGTTGCAGACATAGACGTACTGCGCAGAAGTGGGATGTATGCAGTGGACTGCATACTTTTACTGGGACACCTGAGGTGGCTGGGTCATGTGTGGCGTATGGATTCGATGCGGATACCGAAGCAGCTATTATATGGTCACCTGAGTTTTGGGAAGCGGCATGTGGGGAAACCGAAGCTTCGTTACCAGGATGTGAGCAAAGTGAACCTCTCACGTTCTAATGTTGATTTCAGATGTTGGGAATCGAATGCAGTTGATCGGCATGCATGGCGCGATCTGCTCATGAAGATCATTGTCGAGGTGCAAGGAAGAGCCCTCGTGCATGCGGAGAAGAAGCGGCAAGTGCGGAAGCGACAGTCGCCGATGGGGTGTACTCCATTTATGTCGAGCGCGTGTTGCTGAATTACATGCGGTCGCGAGTGCCTGAGTCAGGCAGGCCTAGTGAGCCACGAGTGAGGCCACACGGGACCAGCATCGACACGAAGACGGGTCCTGCTGAGAAGGTAGACAGAACGGGCGCAGCGTTGGTAGGTATGTTGTATCTAAATTAATAACCGCTCGTTTGCGTGTTGAGTTTATTTCAGGTGGTGGGTTTGTCATCGTGTCTCAATGCATATCATATTTTATCACCTGTTAAACGTTACCTGTAGTTGCACACGTTACTTAAACTAATTGTGGTTAAGTTGGCCAACATTTTCGCGTTTGTGGCACTTTTTAACATATGTCCTTTTCAGATTTCTTAGACTTATCGCGGATTTGTTGGTCACCAATTTATGACGTATGGTCATTCAGTGTAGATTTATGTCAGCATATCGCATGCTTTATTCGATATATGTTAGTTGTTATTCTGATTTCAAGTGATTGGCTGTTGCTTGATATCCCCGGTGTGGTTGCGCTTGATGTGCATGTTGACAAGGTGCCTACCTGTTTATTACCCACTACCTCGCCCATGGTGGCTCTAGGAGACAGTTGGTCGTTGCTGGAGGGGACGGGGTGCACGGTCCTTGTGGCCGTGCAGGACTTGAAGAGTGGTTTCATGCACTCAGTGTGGAGCGGACCAAGGTCCAACCACCGCCTCGTGTGTGCGTGATTCCCAAATACAGTGTGCTTGTGTTTGCCTGTGAACGAGTGTGGGCCGGCTCCGTTGATGAAACGTGGTTCCCATCCGCATGCCTCCCGGTCTTATTCCTTCGGGTTTACACTGGATATGGGGTATGTGGTTGGAGCTGTGGGTGGTGCAGCGCAAGCCATCCATGGTCCCTCTGTAGGCGCAGGCGTCCTGTGGCTTGCCACAGTGACAGGCAAATCCGAAACCGGATGCCGCCAACCATATATATATATATATATATATATATATATATATATATATATATATATATGTATAGGAACAATGAAAACCTTAAATAACTAATTGTTGATATCATTATTAAGTTATTATTTCTCAAAACTGGAACGAATTTGAGAAAACTGCTCTAATGTTTGAAATCCCCACCACTGAAACATCCCCCGCACCAGGAAAAGGTATTGTGTCAACCAGTATACTCTTCAAACACATGTTAATCAATAAAGACTCACCAAGACTAGGGGCTGCAGATTGCAACTGAGTCTGATTTATGAGCCATAAAAGAGTTTCGACAAACATGGCGTCTTTTTGAAGCTGCTGGGCACTTGGTTGGTCCGCTCCGCGGCTACTTAAATGAAGCAAGGTATCCTCGATGGCACGGACCTGGTCTTCTACTAAGCCCACCATGCCGCGGAGATGATTCTGGTGCATGTGAATTTCCCCCAATCGAAATTGCATGTGATCCAGCCTGAACAGGGCAAGTAAATAAGGTAGGGGAGCGTTAAAACCGTATTGCGTCCATTTTATAAAGATGTTAACACAGAAACGGACACATTTAAAAGTAAAGTGTATTTCAGAGAGGCTGATCCGTAATGGAGACTATTCCCTGAAGAAGTCGAGTGGCTTGGCTAGAAGAAGTGTAGCGGCGCATGAGTGTTTCATGTGTTCACTTTTGTCACGAGCCTGGAGCCAACGGTGGCATCCGGTGAAGGTTGAACGTAGGACGCGTGGAGTGAAAAACCAAGAGGATGATGACGAGCCCAAAATTGGGGCAAAATAGGAGCCTTGTATTAGTGTATTTTTCAGGTTTATACAAACGCAGCTTCTTAATGCAACACTCCAACAACTAAAATTGGGGATAGGGCGCGACCGACAAACCCCAAGCAGCAAACATCAGTGAACAGTGCTGTCTATCAGCGTCGGCCCACCCGTAAAAGTGTGAGGCTGGTAGACCATATTTGTAGGTTTTCGCTGGAAACCCGTCCGCTCCCGGGGCTTACTTCGACTTCAGGTGACAAACGATGTCTGCAATTTCTGTGGGCAAGGACGGTGAGCAAACCACGTCAAATCCTGGCTGGGTTAATGCTGAAATGGGTGCGGTGGTTTGTAGTGGACGGTTTAGGAAGTTGCTAAAATATTCTACCCAATTGGAAAGTTTACCTCCCATATCGGGGATGATTTAGCCTTCCGAATTGTGCAATATCGGCTGTGGTGAATGACGCTGGCCGGAAGCTAAACGGACGAGACAAAAAAGATGACCAAATTGCCAGAATTTGATACAGTTTCCATGTTGTTTGCGGTATCAGACCAGTAGCGGTTGCGACCATTCAGTGCTGAGCGGGTTGCCTCACTTCTTAAGCGACGGTAGTCTGGGTGGGGCACTCGTGAGACATGCTTCACTCACTTTAGCGGACAGGATCGTCAGCGATCCAGTCCTCCACAGGCTTAGAGGTAGAGCCCAGGGTAGATAAGGAGGCGCGTTGAACTTACGATTTTAGCCTAGACCAACGAGCGTCTACAGATTCATCTTCTGAAAGTACGAGGCGTGGTGCACTGGCGGAAATTTCCGCTTCTATAGCTGCCTCAAGGGATCTGCAGCAGTCAATATTTTTCCAGTGGGGCAGTGTTGATACCCCTTAGTGGAAGGGTCTTCCGGCGTGTTGCTAAGCGGAGTCTGAATTTAGCGCGCAGGAGTACGTGGTCCGAACCATCTTTATTGCTTGTTTCAGTGCCTCTGTACGCTCGACAGTCATCAATGGAGGACATCCAGCTGGATCGAATTAAGATGTAATCTATCTAGCTTGTTGTACGACCATCGTTGGAGTACCACGTCAGAAGATGTTTCCTGGAATGCTGGAAGCGAGTATTGGTTACGCACAACCGGTTAAGGTCAGCGAAGCTGTGCAAGCGGTCTCCATTATCACAGCGCTCTCTAAAGGCGTATCACACGAGTATGTGACGGGTCTGATCGTTCCTAGGACCGGTTCGTACATTCCAGTCCCCAGCGATAATGAGGATGTCGCGTTGTGGAACATGGTTCATCACTGTCTGGAGAGTATCGTAAAATTCGTCTTCGTCACTTTCCGCTGAGGGTAGGGTTGGTGCGTAGACAGAGATTATGGTCAGATTCATCGGGTGACCTTTGGAACGTGCAACTGCTATTCTAGCTGATACTGGCTTCCATGAAAGGAGAGCGTAGTGTGCCTGGCAGCTGAGAGCCATGGCGTCCCCTTGATTGCCAGAACTATCTTCCGGCCCACTGTGGTAAAACCAATATGAGGTATCTACACCAGGGACTTTGAGTTGCCGAGCCATAGTCGGGTAGTAGAGATTCTGATAGGCACGCTATGTCGATCTGGTAGTCATGTAGTGTACACATCGTCAACGCTTGGCTGCCTACATCCATCAGGGTTCTGACATTCCAGTATCGAATGAATAGTGGCTTCCGAGGATTGAGGGACCCCGCTAGCTTACTTGTCACTCTGGCCACTGGGTTGGCGCAGAGCGCGTTGCCTACCGGGAACGCCGTAATATGACAAGAATCGCGGGTAACGGAAATGCCATGAAGTTTTGTGGGGATTATGGGTACGTATGAGTACCACAACCTCATCCGGCTTTTGCTCGAGGGTTCACCTCTAGTCTTAACACAGCCAAGTGTTACCTGCAAGGCAGCAGGGATCTGGGAAATTGTCTTAACTTTCAGCCGTTGGATCAAAGGTCGAGCTCCTCTGCTTAATATGGGAGACCGAAATCTGTCCTTCCTAGTGGAGTACCTCAGTACTACTGTCATTTCCCAAGAAAGGTGACCGAACTGCGTGTAGTAATTATGACGGGATTAGCCTAATGGATGTCGATGCCGAAACGTTTGCACGAATCTTGCACTCCCGCTTTGTTGATGGGAGAAATCTGCGAACTCACCATAACCAAGGTGGCTTTCGTCTAGGCAGAGGTTGCACTGACCAACTCTTCACTCTAGGTCGAGTACATGAACACCGCTACCAGTTCCAACAGCCCACGTTTGTGTGCTTTGTTGATTTTCGAGCTGCCTTTGACTCAGTTGACCGCGAAGCACTCTGAAGAATCCTACTTGCCGATGGCGTTCCGGTTAAACTCGTTAACTTGATGAGATCATACTACCGTTGCATGAAGGTTCGGATTCGGATCTATGGAGAAGAAACAGTGGAATTCGACATCAATACTGGAGTCCGGCAGCGTTGCCCACTTTCTCCAGTGCTGTTCAACTTCGCAGTCGACTGGGTTATGCATCATGCAATTGAAGGCTATCGTGGTGTTCAAGTTAGACCTGACGTTCTGACTGTCACGTCTAGAATTTGCTGACGATATCGCCATCCTTGCGGAAGATGCTCCATCACTACAGTCACTACTAAGTCGGGTCGATCAATAAGCCTCTAGGATAGGACTTGAAATTAACATCAGCAAGACGAAATACTTCTCATCGCTAGCCACCCAGTCCGCCCTGTCGCTCTCCTTACATGGACGACTCATCGAATCTGTTCCTGAGTTCAAGTATCTTGGATTCATTATACTCCGCAATGGTCAGGCTACATCCGAAATCCGGAATCGTATTGAAAGCGCTAGAACCGCCTTCTTACAAGTGAGAAACACATTGTGGCGAAGGACGGAAATTAGTCTGAGAACGAAGATCCGAGTATTTTCAGCAACCATTCTTGCCATTTTACTTTATGGTTGCGAAAAATGGCCATTGCGATCCGAAGACACCCGGAAGCTGGAAGTCTTCGACCATTGGTGTCTAAGGCTTATCTTGAAAACGTGGTGGCATGAGCGTATAACCAATGACGAAATCCGTAAGCGCTGTAACGGTTTTCCGAAGCTCACAAAGCTCATCCAACGCCGCAGATTTCAGTGGTTCGGTCACGTCCTCCGCAGACCAGACACTGACTTCACTAGGGCCTTGGTTTCACTCTCACCCTACCAGGGTTGGTGTCGTGGCCATGGTGGACAGTAGAAAATGTGGCGCACTACAGTGAAACTGGATGTCGATCTTCTGGGACTCCATGTTGTGCATGGTGTTGGTCACTGGAGGAATCAATGGATCAGTATGTGCGTGGAGCTTGCCGCCGACAGTCGCGCTTGAGCAGCTGCAATTCGCGACATTCATGAAGCCGGCTTATCCTGTCGCAGGAGCTAGCGGCAGTAAAGTAAAGTAAGTAAGTATACATGTGAAGGCAGAATTATTTGGAGCAGTGTCAATAACGCTGAGTCAGGATACAACTGGTGAGCGGAAGACAGCTTGTGAGCTCAACGCACTGGATAAGGATTTGGGAGTAGTCAACTAGACAAAAAGGACTGGCGCGAGCAACTTTTACAAGAGCAGGGGTTAGCAACTGACGGATGGCCAAACAAGGAAAAGGGCTGACAAATGGTGCGACTAATCGGTGGCCTAACCAGTGGGAAGCCAAGGCTTGCTTCGGCGAAGTGGCAGACCAAAGCGAAGAGGTCTAGTAAATGGAAAGATTGGATGTGATGCGGCTTGTGCCTAGGAAAATAGTGCCGGTGTCCGAGATAGCAGCAGACAATCGTTTCATCTTACTGGGGCTCGTCAATGGTGCCCACTCCATCGACCCTCCGCAGCGGATCGAACCCACGACCGCTAGTAGCTTGCGCTAATTAGCCAGTAGCGTACGCCACTGAAGCACGAGGGACAGCCGCAGACCGTCCTAACTTGGGAGCTGACTGGAAGATAGCGTGATCTATCCTTTACTGCAATGCAGACTCCTACCGTTTCAGAGGTCAGTGGTCGGCCACCAGAGGTCAAGACTTCCAGTACATAGTAGCTATGCCCAACAAGCATTTGAAGTGTGAGGGTTAATGTTCCATTACTAATGGGTAGGAAGATTTCTGAGAGGTCGGGACGAATCAGTAAACGTTCAACAAAAATATTCCTATTCAATAGTGCTAGTACGACCATAGAACGCGGCTGATTTATGATATCAAAGCCTTGCGGTGGTGCCAGTTTAGCTGAACAAAAGAATACGAGGATGGAGCGAAGAGATGGCAGAGTTGACCTTTAAGATGGAAGTGGAGGAATGGGTGGTGGAGCACCGTCGTTCCTACGGTTAGGTAATAGCGGAATGCGTCTCGAACCACCTAGATGGGTAGAATGTAAATCTGAGGGCGAACAAGAAGTTGTGTGAAGCTGGCCCGCAATCAGTTCTTCCGCATGTTTCGCGGATTCCTCGACGGTAGGTAGGCTAGGAAGTTTGATGTAAGCAGACAGGTTTGGGACTATCCGAAAAGGCAAATAGATAACTTACTTAACAAGGCATGATAGCGCGCGTGCGTCACTTGTCCCAAGGATTCCACAGTGGGTCAAGGCAAAAACATAAGAGTCACGACGAACTGAAGATACAAATGAACTTTGATAAGGATTGAACATGGGCTATCACATTAGGACGTCCTAAATGGAGGTAGCTGGTTCGAACCTGAGAGTTATTGCAGGTGATTTGAATGTTTGTCCTTGATTGCAAAGTTAGATTAAGGCAATTATGCCAACTGTCTGTTACTATGAGACAGGAGGTGTCATTTGTCGCCACCAAACAAAAAGAGCTCACCTTTTGTTTACTACGTCCTGGTGTCGGTTGGCATCGAGTTTTTCCTGTTTGCGGGCCTCCCGCCAGAAGTCGTCCACACATTCCTCCTCGAAATCGTGAAGTTTCTCCACTTCTTCCGGACTGAGGAACAGCTCTGAAATAAAACGCGTCAAACGGGCAACGTAGAGGAAATGTTAAAGCTATGCGACGGGTGTATTGGGATGAAGGATCGATTGTGGGCACATCACTCAAGCATACGTAGATCAAATGAAGGAAGGATACAAGCTGATTCTATCATACAGTGCAAAGGAGACACGTAATGGTTGCCAAGCATAAGAAGACGATGTGACACTGATTCATTGAGCGAGTCGTCTTAGTGACCACCCCACTGCCCTGTTTCGGTTGAGTTGCACGCACGCAGCGTCAGTCATAAGACATTATCGATGTAAAACAAGCCTTGAAAGCAGCCGCTGCTGTTTTCGCTAGAGTTTTAAGCTTTCTCAAGTTCTTGTGACGATTTCCCTGGTCGCCAATGCCGTCATACTCCACCGATTTTTTGATCTCAGACACAAAACCACGAAATACTCAAACGGATTTTAGCTAACGTTCCAGCAAAGTGATAAAGCACCATGCTCGTTGGCAAAATCGCCTTAGGCGTTGTCCAAGCAACAGGGTATAGATCACGAAGGTTCGTTTAGGTAACGAACGGCAGTTGTGCGGCGATGAGAGACTGTTTACCTGGGAGATGGAGCACTTTTTAATTTTTTCTAGTTTTGCAATTCTGCGCTTTGATTGCAGCATTACAGTCTATCCGCGGTCGATAGTGCAAAATGCTGAGAAGGCATCCATCTGGTTACATGATGCATTACTTGGCTTGAAGCTAGATCAATTCGAGCCAAAGACTCACCAATCACTTCCACCATGCCTGCCAAATGGCATGCTCTCGTGTTCTCTAAACGCTTACATTCTCAAACATTAAACGTTAGTAGCCTAACCATTTAGCATTCGTTTTACACATAAGAGTTGAATTGTGACACTTTAATCAGTGTGTCGATCATTCTATCGTCACGCCGTACGGAGACTCCTGCATGCTATAAACCGGATCATGAATGCTGTCTTGCGCACCATTTGGTTTCCCGTACCAGTTATCAGCTAGTTGCATCTGCACTACAATCAAATTCCTTAGTAAGGAAATCATGTTTCTCCTTAAATCAGTCAAAATCGTTCGTTCCTCAGTCAAATTGCATCTATCGCGCCGGCGTGCCTGTACTCATCGTCGATGCAACTTGATTGAGTCATGAATTATCACAAGCAACTTACGGAGTATGATTGGATTATGGATGTTATTGAGTGAGAGTTGGTATGGAGCCTCAGTTAGATGGATTCACTATACTAGAAGACATCAGTTTTCCGCGAATTCGCGAAAGCGAAGAAAAATAGCGAAATTTATAAATTCCGCGGAAAACGAAAAAGTTCGCGAACTCGCAGGAAAAAGAGAGATTCGTGAAGAAATCTGCCTTGAATTCTCTTTTGTTATGAGCAATATAATCAAAAGGTTTTAAATTTTGAAAATGTCATCACAGAAAATGCAACAGCAATTAGGAGGAAAAACTGCCCCGGAGAGAGTGAGGGGGTTCCTGGAGAATGCTACGTCGATAACGCGGATAAGAGATTACTGTTTTGTTCTTCGTGGATCCATCTCGAAAATCAACCGTGATTGACCGTAGTCACAGTCAGAAGCATTTGCTGAAGAAAGCTTACAAGGAGGAGCAAGCAGCAGAAAAGTTGTTGTCAAGTTGGAACTAACTCCGACGAATGCTTGACAAGCAAGCATCGTTAGTTCAAGTTAAGCCAAAATAGGATTTATACACCTAAATAGGTGCATTATCAGCATTAACACTATCACTACGGATACACTGAATGAAGGGGAGCAGTTAAAATTACATAAACACAGATTGAAGAATTGAATAGCCCAAGGGATATGGATATCATTCAAGCAACCGCATGCGTAAAGCATTTGTGACTTTCTTACGGTCGACAAGAAAGCGTGACAAATAAGGCCAGATTGTGTTACAATACGAAGTGTAAGAGAATAAAATGCTAAATTCTGAGCGTGTGTGGAAGACAGATGACGTCTGTGAGAGAGAGTTATGTAGCGGATGTAAGCGGTCACTTAGGACCTTAGAAGAAAAATGCATGCAAGCGTCAAAAGATTTACGAAAAGAAAAGCAACTATGAATTATCTAGGCAAGCCACCACGTCAGGAAATATGTCTAATCGACCGCATGATCAAAACACACTCCTTTTGCAGTAGTCCAGGGAAGATTACTGGGAACCGTATAACCAGTGTGGTAGTATACATGCAGTTACAAATCTCAAGATTAAGCTTCGCGGTAAAGAGAAATTCGTAAGTTGGAAACCATAAAAAGATAACCTTCTGACCTTGTGAAATGTCCCCAAAACGTGCATGGACCAAGATAAGTTTTGTGAAAAATAGACACCGAGATATTTGACAGTGAATAGAATAGGAATGGTTTTGTCCCCCAAAGTTAGTAGAGGAGAGGTATATAAAAATACTCGCAAATTATCAAAGCGGAGAAACGAATATGTTACATCGCCGTTGCGAACGCAGTCCAGGAAACCTGCAACACAGTGGTATCTGACTTTCTATTTGCTAGGGTATCTGCGAATATTCCTATACAGAAGCACGACAACCCCCAGTTGAGGGAATTCCTACAGACACGTACGAAGTGGTGGAAGCTTTGCAAGGATCTAGCGCGCTACGTCTGAAAATTCACCAGCTCTACGGTGAATACAAGCAGATATTGAAATAGATGTTCCGCGATACCTTCGTGAGCGTCATAACAGACGAAACAACTGATGATCGCGGGAAGATGGAACTACACCTGTTATGCGCACCATTGAAGTCCAACACGGATAGCCTCCGAGCAACCTCGTCGACACAGTCAATTTGGAGAGAGTCATTTCTGCCACAGTTGGAGGAGCCATTCAACGCAGCTTGACAATAATGGGTAGAGTTCAGTCTTGTGACGGCCTTCGTGTCCGATGGCGCTAGATATATTACAGCATGCTACCGAGATGTCTTGAAGCCAGTTTGTGAGGATTCAGTTCACAGCAGATGCGTTTCCCATCGCATCAACTTGATGAGAGGCCATTAGCAAATCCTCTCAGGAAGTCGATGAATTCGTTGCAAAAATGGAAGTGTTTTTCCTCTTTCGGGTAGTAAGAGGCGCGTCTACGTGGTGTATCTAACTCAGGAGGGCGTGGATAACCCAACAGGCTCACCTGCATCGGTCATCACCCGCTGGAACTTCTGGCTGGAAGCTGTCGCATATCACAACAAGTATTTCTTTCATTACCCAGCCATATCACAAGCTGTCCAACACGAGTTTGGAAACGCAGCTGGTGGATATTCTAACCAAGGAAACAACACAGAAAGTTTTGGGATGGAAACTGCGTTGCATTTCGAATATTGGCAAGAACATCATCCGTCACCTGAAAACTGCAGACTCACAGTCCCCGGTAAACCATACGATTTACAACGACCTCTCCGATCTATCCATGTCACTGAAAACTGCCGCTAGGGAGAACTGGCTGCAACATTTGCAGCCAGAGGGAGTCCTCTTTGTGTCCAGCAAAATCCAAACTGACAGCCACCGCTGCTTATCCCAAGCTGCCATAAAAGCCCAGGAGTTGTTGACATCACAGGCCAGCTAGCCATTTTGGAAAGTCATTAGAGTGCTCGACCCAACCAGCTCATCACCTAGCCGAATGATCCATGCAGCTATGCCGACATTTCAGGCCTGGTTGGCTCCCCACCTCTGGCAGCGGAATTGCTTATCGATCAAAAAGTGTTGTAAGAACTGCATGGAAAAACATGTGGAGACGCGCTGGCCTTCTGGTGTTAGATGAATGAAAGTACTCCACAACAGACGGACATTGACGGCTGTTGTATTTGCATTCCTGTGAATTCGGTAGATGCTGAACGGAGCTTTCGTGTCTACAAAAACGTTGTGTGTGACAAGCGTCACATCCTTTCAGACAGTAGCATAAAGCAGCTAGTTGGGTTTTATTATAATTCCTCTGTTTTGAAGCTTAACTGACACGTGTATATGATGGATAAACGTGACTTGACTTTTGTTTATTTTAGTATTCGAGGTGAAATCGCGGGATTTTGGGTTAGCGCCACAGAAATTCCGCAAATTTATCGATTCGGATCGCGGAAAAAATGTTTCACCACCGCGGAAAGCTAGTGTCCTTAACTATAATTCTTCTAACCAACTGTCTTCCGTGCAACCCGTGCATTATAGCCCGTAGTTCCCATTATCTACGTTTCCGATGACGTGCCTAGTCTAAGCCTAGTTTCGCGGAACCGTAGTGACAATCAAGAAGCCACACCTGCTTCCCCTTGAATACGAGAGAATAATTGCGCTGTGAAGCCACAATATTGTTATTGGTTCGCGCAAAAGGATAAATTCCAAACCATGAATTGGACAGGCAATCAAACGGATGTACGACAACTACAGGGGCGCAAACAATATTCTTCCAGTTAATGTTCTACAGGGCGTGTGTGGGTAAACTTACTCAACCCCGCAGAAGTTTCCCTGGTAGAGGATGCCTGCGTCAACCAGTCATGCTTGTCACCGGAACGAAGTGACCCTCCTTTCGACGGTGGTCCTTGGCTTGGCGCTTCGCTTGGTTCGGAGCCGCTCTGCTTTTTGTCGGAGCCTGCGCAACCGGAGCGCGAGAATGGAACTAGACGCTTCTTGCGGACACTGTAAGAGGATGGATCAGGTGGTGAAGTACGGCTAATAATGCGGTTAGTAAACGCACAGGAGATAGTTGAAGGTAAAAGTGGTGACCAGTTAGCAGAAAGAGGTCAGCGCACACTGACCAGATGACTGCGTGCAGGTAGGGGACTCACGCACCGGTGTATATAACGAATCAGTGAATAGATCCAGGAGATGATTATAAATGGAGGCGGCAGCAACGGGCGAGATTCGTATTCGATGATCACGGCATAACGTAGGTAATTGTAGACCAACTCTGACTGTTGTCGAACCCGAGCGAAGATATCGTTGAATGTGGCAATGATCACACTGAGAAAGAGGATGATGGCGTACAGCATGTAGATCACCATGGAGATTGGTACAACTTCGCGCAGAGGAGCGTTAACGGATTCAGGTGGAAAGTCGTCAGCTATACGGGAGGGCAAGGTAAGGCAAGGGGAAATCTCAAGCGTTAGAGCATCCAGAGTTTGAATATGAATATTACTGAGACTGAGACTGTAGTTAAGAGCAAGTAGAAAGGTTACTGTACAGCACTATTGAATTACGAAAAATCAAAAAAATTTAGTTGTGAAACATCAGCGGTTGTGTCTGCTCCGTTAATCGTTTATCACTGTTCGGTTAGGAATTTGTACTAGTGGCATTATTTCCGGGCATACGATGTCTTCCTTGGCACTGTATGTACATCGTCTCACAAAAGCACAGGTTTCCGAAATAATCGTCGATACGTGTTTTAAAACACTTCACAGAATCGGCCTCTATTAATCCTTCTGGTAGTGTATTCCATAAGTTAACGATTTTACGTTCAATACAAAGCTGATGTGATACTTTGTTCATGTTGGAGACCCTGACGTCGTCGGGTGTTACAGGGTTCCCACAGGTGAAATACTGGCCGCAGTATGGGGAAGTGATTCAACTGTAGTATTCGATGGGTCATAATAAGGTCAATTCTTACTCGGTGGCAGGATAGTGTGTAGAGTCCGAGCCTTTCATGATGTTTTTCGCACGGAAGCTTTTGTAGCCTCGGTATCATTCTAGTTGCGATATGCTGTATTTTCTCCAGCTTTTCAGTTTCCCACTGGGTTATCGGATGGTAAGCTGGGGCACCATATTCAAGGATTGGTCTAATGAGCGACGTGAATAGACGAGAGACGGTTTCTTCGGATCATGTGGAGAAACTGCGTCTTGATGCCCAGAGCACACGAAGTCCCGCACGGTACAATTGCTCTGTATTTTCTAGTGATCTCATATCATGTCGCGAGAGCACTCCTAAGTCTCTGACAGATGTGTTAGAGTGGAGCAACTGGCCGTCCAAGGTGTATGATCGAGTGGTTGGACGTCTGATGATACTGATGAACTACGACTTACTTGCGTTAAGAGGGATTTGTTTTTCAGTGGACCACGTTGACAGTCGTTCTAAGTCATGCTGCAGGCGAGCGCAGTCGCCCTGGTTCTCAATGATACTCCAGATTTTCAAATCATTTGCAAACAGGGCACATGGTGACTGGAGCTGCTGCGGAATTTCATTGATATGAACAAGAAATAATACTGGTCCAAGTATAGTTCCTTGAGGCACGCCACTGGTCGATGGGAACCAGTCTGTCAGGTAATCATTGACCTGTACTCTAAACGTTCGTTCCACAATAAACTCGTGTAACAACTCCCACAATAACCTCGTGTAACAACTGAAGTAACGTGCCACTGATTCCGTATATCCTCAGTTTACGAAGGAGTATCTAGTGGTTCACACTGTCAAACGACTTACTAAAGTTGATGTACACCACGTCAACATCCTTATGTTCGCTGAGAGCTCGTACCCACTGGTGGTTTGAGTACATCAAGTTGGTGATGCAGGATCCCCCTTTCGTAAAGCCGTGTTGCGCTGGTGTCAATACGTCCATCTACTCGAAGAACGACAGCAGACACATTTGCACAACCTTCTTGAGAACTTTGGATAATACCGAAGTCAAACAGATCGGTCTATAGTTCTCTATTTTACTCGGATCACCAAGCTTGGGAAGCGGCCTCACTATCGAGGATTTCCAGCCGTTGGGGACAGATGCTTCAGAAAGTGATGTATTGAATAGGTTTGCAACGGCTGGTGAGATGATAATCAATAGGGACTTGAGTATTAGTGGGTGAAGTTCGTCTGGTCCTGGGGGCTTTGCACCATTGAGGTTGACGAGTAGCTGATACACTTCAACTGCATCACATTGTAGGCTGTCAAGCAAGACTGGCGCAACCTGTGTCGGCACTGGAACAGCCACCGGTTTACTGGAAAATACGGTGAGGAAGTGCGTAGTCAAGGCGTCCGCGCACTCCGCGCTTGTAATGGGCGTCTATCCGTCCATGCTCTCTAAAACCGGTAGGTCGCCTCCAGGTTTCAGTTGTCGTTTCAAGTAGGCAAATATTCTTTTGGGTGCAGTTGTGGCAGAGGATGCTAGCTCCTCTTCGAACTGCCGACGTTTCCTGATCTTTGCGACGTTATATAAGTTTTGCTGTTTCTTGTACACCATATAATACTCATCACAACCCGAGCTGGTGTACCTAACCCAAAGTTTGTTACGCCGTCGCGCTAACTGTCTATATTCCGTATCAAACCAATGCGGTTTTACAGGCCCGATTTTTGGATACTTCAAGGGAACGAACCGAGTACACAGTGAGTTAAGCTTCTCCTTCATTAATAACCAACAGGTCTCAGGCGACGCATTCTGTGGTAGTGTTCAATCAGTCTGACTTGCGGCTTGGACGAGCCCATTGAAGTCCATCTTCCAATGGTTGAATGTCGGCTTTCGTTGGTTATAATACGGTAACGAAAGTTCTAAGTTTGCCACAAAGGTCAAACCTATGTAAGTTGACCACTCAAGGGACTGAACCAAAGTGGTCAATATACAAAGTTCTGGATCCATAAGGTTTACATGTTGAACGTTTAAGCAAAAAGAAAGAAAACGGTCAACTTAGAAAGGTGGTCAGAGTAAATAAGTGGCCAACTTCGGAGGTATTAGTGTATATGTCAGGCATGGTTGCCAGACAAATCATGGGTTAATTGTGCGCGCACTTAACCAAATACAGTGAGAAGGTAGCTGGGGCAGAAAACTAATATATTACAGCCAACTTACGTTGACGGTCGCTAAGCTCTGTTGTGCGCATGGCACCGACAAAACAATCCATCGGGGGAACAAGTCTTATTTGGTCATCCACAATTCATGCAGGGTTTTTGATCATTGGAAGTGAGTCTAGTGTTGTTGAAGTGTCTCCATCTCTCTTGCTTCACTGCGCATTAGCATACAGTTGGTTCGAAAATGGCGGAAAACCACAAGCCAATGAGTGAGCTTGGGCTCCGTCTAAATCCGGGATGTATTGGGAGGAGTCGGACATGCAGTTCTAGATTCGAAGAGAATTGTCAATAGCCAGTGCAAGTACTGGGAGATGCTGTGGTTATGGCAGTGCTAGGGAAAATGCGCGTCCATACGCAATGAATTACAGTGGGAGTCCCTACGCGGTGAACGAGCAAGGCAACAGACGCTGCAGCACGAATGGCATGGCCGAAAAGGATGCTTTTAAGCACACTATGCAAAGTGCATGTGGTAATGCAGTGTGGGCCGCCGTTGGAACCAATCCTGTTAGACATTTCACACTTTCCGAATTCAGCTCAGATCCTTGTGATCTGAGTGCTGGTAATATATATATATATATATATATATATATATATATATATATAATCTGTGCGCCATGCTGAGGCTGATGTTGTATTCATGATGCTTCTTCACCGTAATTGGGCTAAAGCAAATTATACTTAAACTAGGTCTGTTTAAGCTGGAGAAATTTCATTCCACTTTATTTGGTTTGGTTTGCCTACCGGAATAATCTTCTATTAACTTGCCACGAAGCTTGCGCGAATTGTAGACATTCTTTAACTTTATTGCGTTTATGGTATTCTGTGTATGTTCTGGACATCTTGTACTTTTCGCGGATTCGTTGCTAACCAACTTACTTCATATGCTCAGTTACCAAGGAGTAATGTTTGCATAGCGTATGCCTTAACACATGTATTTTATTTGATAATGTCATTTCAAATGATTGGCTGTTGTTTGAAATTCCAGGTGTAGTTGCGCTTGATGTGCATGTTGACAAAGTGCCTACCTGTCTAGTACCCACTACCTCGTCCATAATGGCTCAAGGAGACAGTTGGTCGTTGCTGGACGGGACGGGGTGCGTGATCATTGCGGCCGTGCTAGGATCAAAGAATGGTTCCATTCACTCAGGGTGGAGCGCACTACGGTCCAGCCACCGTCTTGTGTGCGCTTGATTCCCAAATACAGCGTGCTTGTTTTTGTCTGTGAAGGAGTGTGGGCCGGTTCCGTTGCTGGAACGTGGCTCCCATCCATATGCCTCCCAGTCTTATTCCTTCGAGTTTACACTAGACCTGTGGGTGGTGCAGCGCAAGCCATCCATGGTCCTTCTGAGGGCGCAGACATCCTATGGCTGGCCACAGTGACAGGAAATACGAAGCCAGATACCGCCAGCTATGTATATATATATATATATATATATATATATATATATATATATATATACTACCAACTAAAGTTCTATTGGCTGAGAGGGCCACGAAACATAAGAGAAATAACTGTAGATTGAGAGGGTAAACGACAGCTAGAGAAGAGACTCATAGCAAACGCGCCATTGTATACGACCCTTGGCCATATCCAGCGACGTTTGTAACCGGACGTGCTTGCGATTCTTTGGCCCCCAACCTGGTAGTCGGATGTGCCCAACAACAGCGAGCTTCGACGTTCGCGCCTTAACACATTTGATCCACGTTTTGTATTGGCCTAGTGATCGCTTCTATCCCAAGTCAGCGTCCCCAAAATATCGTGGTAGCCGCTGGGCATGTGAAATGCGTGTCCAAGCCAGCGAAAGTACATACGTAAAACATATGTTCAGGAAAAACGCGTCAGCAGCCACTAATCTAATGATAAACCAAGCTGAGATACCCCCTATAAGTGAGCACTGGTGGCTGCCAATCCGCAACATTGGATGGGTATGACAAGAAGAGACCACAATTTAACAGAATCCACGGAACTCAGCAAGTTCGCATATTCTCCTCAGCTGTTTACATACAAGTTCCGGAGTGAACAGGCTGCATATCAAAGATGATCAAAAGGTGATGTTACTGGTGTATCTAAGGCGATAGAAAGATATTGCGTTCACGTAATCCGGCCAAAAGAGAGACGATCATAAGCCTAACCAGGGTAGGAAGAAGCTGGTCACCTCCGAATCGCTGAGGCCTCAACGAACTGAAGTAGGCGGGGATTTCTTTGTTTGTTAATTACCTTAAACTTTCCATGTGGGTTTTCGCACAAAGGGCAAGCAAATGTGTGACTGGCAATAGACCTAGTGGGTAGCTTTGGGCTATTTGCGACCATATTGCGCTGAAGGTGGTTTTAAATCCTTGGTAACAGTCCGCTCTGTTCTGCCAATGTACTTGCTACCGCAAATACAGATAAAGAAGTATATGCATGAAGTGATAACTTGAGAGTTCGTTTGTGCATATAACCGGATTTCGTGATCAGCCACGCCCTACTTTGTTGAGGTTGGTGATAGTTTTTCTGCTGACCAGGTCGCGTGAACGCAATGGCTTTCGACCGCCGTAAATGTTTGTGATAACATCGCATACTGTTTTTATTTGATGTGCAACTTGGTCATTCCAAAACTTGTATGTGAACAGTCGAGGAGAATACGCAAAATTGCTGAATTTAGTCGATTCTATTAAAATGTGGTTTCTCCTTGCCAATTTGAAATTTGTGAAGAGAAACGCTTGGATATGAGCTTGCGCCAACAAAAAGAGGAGGGATGCGGAAGGAGCACCAGTCCTGCGATATCCGTTCATATCCCAAGAGGAAGCCAATGGAAGCGGCTCGGCTAGGTAACTGGCTGTTAGCACCAGCGGCGACTCACATATCAAAGCACAGAAGTTGGAAGCAAGAATCATGTTCCTCGTCAGAAGACACTGCGAATTCGGCCGTCCCTTACTGTGACTGATAGATAGAAAAATAGTGCTCGATAAACTCAGCTATCCCCATGTCCCGCGTGCATCAGCGCTCAAGGAATGATCACCAAATGGAGCGGGCAAGCAAGCAGTTGAAAAGACGGATATCGTGTCAGGTGGGTAAGTAATAGTGTGCACTGCGTTTTGTACATTTGTCGCTCACCAATATATCTCCCCCTGCAGCATCACGGTAGCAAGTCTGTTAATCTTGCCGTTCCGGCACTTGTATCGCGTAGGTCAGGCACTAAGGCTGTCAGCGAGAGTAAGAGCGATGGTTTACGCAACAGGAATGAGTGACCCACATTGTTCCCCGGACGAAATCAATGGGGGCCTGAAACCACGAAGGCTATACCATGCAGTTGGAGTAAATAGCATTGCTGTATCGTCTGACTACATGTCCGTTTACTGATTTGGCTGTAACTGGTAAGTTATGAAAGGGTGAAACGGACAGTGAGACAAACGTGCATTATAAATGTCACCATGCCACTGAATGCTGATCAGGTGTCGGAGACCGACTGGTACCTCTAACGTTCATTTTCCGGGTCACCTGCAATTCTCACACGGCCTAGTCGTCGTTGTGCCTCAGCGAAGCATCGAGACAAGACATTATTGAACTGCCAGAAATATAGACGACTAGGCTCAAAGGAAACGACGCGGAGTAAGTGAAAAAATCTAGATCAGCATCAGACAACCGGAGAAGCGCCAGACAACCGCCTTGCTCTTTGCCGAGTAACTGCCGGTGCATTCGTCATTGACTTGATGGGAATGGAGTCACATTGTGATTTATCAGATGAAGACCATTAACGGGTACCACTAGAATGGGGCGACCATAATAAAATTTAAAATACTTGCCGGGTAGATGAGCAGGAACCAAGCTTTAAAGCCGATACTGCAGCTTAGAAGGTAATGGTGCGTGTGTAGGTGACCACTTGGTGTCACAGTCTGCAAGTTACACCGACTATTTGGACCCATTATGTGTCAGCTAAACGCAGTGCATATACAAGTCTAGAACTAATCTAATGAAGAGAATGACCAGTGCTGAGCATGGAAATGGATACGAAGGTTTCCAGTACCCACAAACAAACGAGCAAAGTCCAGAATAAGCTATTCAGAGCCAAGTACAGGCTTGACATAGCATAAATATCGCACGTGATTTGTAAGATCTGCTACAGAGTGCAATAGATGATGCGTAGGTTAAACAGGAGGAGATTTGGTACGAGGTTGTACGAAGGTAATCATCGACGAAGACAAAACCTAAGGTCAGTAAGACGGTTATTTGTAGGTTAAGAAACAACCTTGCTGTGATGCAATCCGAGCAATCCAGGGTAGTTTTAAGCTACCGGAAAGAAAACTTTGTCTGGTCATCTTGAGAATGCGATATTTTAATGGTACGGATCTACTACGGTCGTACACAGCCCAGTGCACAGTGCTTTGAACATGTTCAACTAACCAAAAGATGCAGCATAAAGGATGTGGTGAGAAATTCGCAGAACTAAGAATGATAGTCCACATCCAATCAACGAATCTCCATAAACTGACGGTCGCTAGACCATCATAATGAACATGAGTGGGTGGGGGGTAACTTAAACTCACGATCAATCTCGGGAGCATAGACTTCGCCATACAACATAAAGTACGGCTTCAGCATGATTCCCTTGACTGCATTCAGGGTGATGTAGGTCCGATTTGGATACATGATACCCTCGCGCAGAGTGCCAAAAGCCACAAGGGGCAGGAACAGGAGCGTCAGTATGGGAACCATTACGCGTATCTAAAAGGATAGGGGGTATGGAGTACATAAAATCATTGTACATAGGATACGGAATGTAAGGAATTGAACTATGGACTAATTACTTAGAGTAAATTTTCACGATATGCCCGATCGATAAAAATACGGCTGGGCCCAGCCCCCAAACGATTGCCACTAGATAGCATAATGTAGAGCGTACCATGCCTCTATATATGGTTCTCAGCTTCAAAGTACCGAGTACAGACGCGAAGTCAGGTTAGTACATCAACCGAACTCACTGGCGCCAAAAAGCCACTGGTCGATCGATTTATTAATGTGGGAGACTGCACTGCCTCTACCTAGCCCAACGCGGATGCTGTCGTGCGCAGTCGCTGGCGTATCCCCTAAGAGTCACAAGCAGACTGCGAATAGCATTCATCGTTTGCCTCACAACTTTGTGTATCGAAACCGTATGCTTCGCAGCAGTAAAAATACAACTAGATGCTGGTTCCAAACACTACCTTTAAGAGCATATTCATCAATACTTTAAAATGAAATTGTTCATATCTTAATTCCAATGACCGGCGTAGCTACGGTAAAGCTGTGTTACAACCAATAATACCAAAGCCATGAAATTATGAAAATCTTTCATTAATGCTCCCAATTCCACACTAAAAACTAGTACTGTTTCACCTACTAATCAGGGTCAGAAGAGAGTAGGATTAAAACGAAGTGATGATCGTGGAGAGGATGGGAAGTAAGTTGGACAACCCAGTATGGTTCCACTATGAGTCATTTAAGATGGTCCTCGTCCCAATCCAAGTACGTACAGCGTAAGTATAGCAGATCGCCGATCTGGATGCAATTTAATTGCAGTACGAACTATCTTAAGTGACAGAAGGAGGAACACGGTTCGCTTAAGGGGAAATTTGATCATATTATGGATGTAATTGATTGAAAATGGTATAGAATGTATCGCAAGAAGCTAAAAGTCGACTTGGAATTCAGAACTTCGGAGGATTTAAAATACAAATTGGTTTCCTATAAGCCTCTAGTATAAACCTACAAAAACTATGCATAGAACGAAGTTTACCAGTTTATGAAATATCCGGAAATAAGTAATAAATATTTATATCTCTCTAATCCCCGGGAGAAAAGACATGAAGGAGTGGTGTACCCTGAACCTCACCCCGTGTTATATTGATGGTGTGTGCATGTGGTTTTCGACCACGTGTATAAAAACGAGCTTGAACAAATTTAAGAAACAATGTACATTTATGCTTTAATGTTTACTAATATTTAGGGACTGCTTTTAGAACATTACTTCTAGAGTTTGAAAAGTAGTGCACTCTGGGGAGGATTAAACCCTCCATACCAGTTTTACGGTTGGCCTGTGTGTTAAAACACTGGGTTGGCATATGACTCTGCGTTATCATTTAATTTCTAATCATTTTAAGTACACGAAGCATTAGATATCCTTGCAGTCATTAACATCAGCATTCACCATCCTCGATGAGTGTGTGTAAATCATGTCCGGTATGGGCACAATTAGCTAAAGGTGAAAGACACCATGGTCGTTTTGAATTAATACAAAGTGGTTAGATGGTTATAAAAAGGAAAACAAAACCGAACAAGGAGTATTATGCCTTTTTACTATGCCATAGTAATGAGAAGGTGTTTGGAGGGGGAATATAAGCGGGATGGGGACGGGGAAAGAAATTCAACAAGCATCTCAAAGTAAATGTGTTCATCGACTTCCGGACCCCAACCCAGCAGTTGGGAGACACCAAACGACGCCAACTTCGAAGTGTGGGTTTCGGTACCACTTGAGCAAGTCATCGCTTGGCCTCCTCCTTTATCCACAATCCCGGCGCACAAACAACATACTTTACGGGAGTCGGTGCGCTTGCATGCGCAACACGTGGCCCAGCCATCGGAGCCTGCGGTGTACAATAATGGTGCTGAGCGGTTCACGTAATCTTTATGCGCCAAAAACAAGGCAGCGGGATTGCTCATGCTCATACGGTGTTCCCACCAGACATGAGCTAAACTGCGCAGGCAGCGATGGTCAAACGCAACTAGCCTAGTTGCGTCTGATGAGTCAGGTTTCGTAATTGTACAGCAGGGTTGTATGGACCGCCACTGTAGAATTTACCATTTAGGGTAAGCATAACGTCACATCAGCACCATAAGTGGTGAAATTGTAAGAAATGTGAGACTGATCCTTTCTGAATTGGTTGTTGACAGGGATGCTGATGTCTGAGACGTTGTGTAAAACGAGCATATTGACTGATCTATATCAATGCGACTAAAATATCACGCAATCCGGTTACGATTAGCCTTTTTGACCGGGTGTATCTTGCGTTGTCGTGCAATATGCGAGTATGCATTTGTTAGTGGCTAGATATCTGCTCATATGTGTGAGTCGGGAAGTACAAGGTTGCATCTTAGCTGGCCACCTCGTGATTTCGCCCAACTTGGTGCAGCCACGGCATATAATGTACACCGAGGAAGCCGGTCCACGTGCATACGGAGAACATGGGCTAACCAACATAAGCGGATGAGCTTCAGCAAACACTGGAAAGGCACCAGAAGGCTTCTTGCCAGAAGCCAACTAGCGGACCTTAGCATTGCTCACCCGGTGTTTCCACCAAACGTGAGCAATACTTCGCAAGCACCGGAAATCAAACACTATCGAGTGTTTAGTGTCATCTGCATGAACTAGCCAGGTCTCCAATCCATAAAGTAACATCAGCCTTGTCACTGATAGGCTGACTTCCCGCCATCTCCATAGGTGGTCGAGCTTCTGGATAGCCACACCGGCGTTGCTGACACGCGAAGTAACTTCCGCAATGATTAGATCAACAGAGATGACACAGCTACCAAGGTAAGTGAACCGATCCACCACTTTCAGTGGTTGTTCGATTATAGCTAGAAACGATGTGTCAATCCAATCCTGAAGTAGTACTTTGCACTTTGAAAGTTAAAATCACATGCCGAAGCGTGCGGCGTCACGGACCAGTCTTTCTAGCAGTGTTTGCATAGCCACCGCGTCGGACCCAAGAAGAGCGATGTCATCCGCATATTCCAAGTTTGTCAGTCGGTCACCTGGCAGAACTTCCACTCCAGTAGAGTTTGAAAGAACGAAGTCACTCGTGAACACTACAATGACAAAGTTGAAGAGGAAAGGAGATATCGGACAACCCTGGAAAACCCCACTTGTCGTGGGGAACTTAGGAGACAATTTCCAGTAGACACGTACACGGCCTCGGGAGTCACGGTAGAGAGACTAGATAATGGCAAGGAATTTAGCCGGCACGCCTTTCATGGATAGGCAGTGCAAAAAGATGGCGCAGTCAACAGAATCGAAGGCAGCTTACAAGTCAAGGAAAACCCCATTGTCGGTCTTCTGTATGTGTGTCTCTGCTCCAACGCTTGGAGAGAAAATATGTGGTCGATGCAATTACGACCAAGGGGAAAGCCAGCCTGGCTTTTAGTGATGCGGTTCTCACGGAGAGTAGTAAGTTGTGGAAGAATGATATCCGTGAGAAGTTTGTGAGGAATTTAAAAGAGGACGAATGTGTCGATGAATTTAGCACAAACTCATTGATCCTTCTCGAAAATGGGCACGAGTTGATAATTACTAGCCCGAAGGCACCTCTTCAGTGTTTCAGATCGCGTTAAATAGAGTAACAAGTCCAATGAACAAAACGTCACCGTCATCTTTCAGCAAAGATGGAAGAATGTTGGGTCCAGGAGCCTTGTTTCGTTTCAACGCGGTAAGCTTATGTCGAATCTTTTCTGTGATGGGAGGGGTGATATCAACTTCCCATATCGGTCCAGATAATTCATCAGGCAGCAGTGTCGTAGAAGGCCTGCTGAATTGCTCTTCAAATGGTTCTGCCGAACGAGTTAGTCGACGTTGCTGAGAAAGGACCAACTGTCCATCTTTCTCAGTAATAGTCTCACTAACTGTGGGATTTTTTGGAGTTGTGTTACGCATGAGCTGGAAATGCACTCCTTTGTTTCCAATAGTTTGGATTTCGCCATCACACAGGCTTTCTAACACCCACCATGGTTCCTGATCAATTCTATCCCAAAAATCCTCCTACTCACCAGCAATTCTAGGAATCATTTACAGTCGTTGCTTTAGGACGTTCAGGACACGCTGAACCTCAGTACTCATTGGTAACTATTTCTGTCCTTAGATCAAACTGATCGATGCCTCAGAGATTTATCCACATGTCGAATGTCTTAATTTGGGCGTGCAGTAGGTGTTAAAAGCACTTTTCACGGAACATTAGTGACGATACTTGTCAATGTTCGGCTAAACAATCTCATTCATCACTGACAATCGGTGGGCAAGTTCGTCATGATATTGTTGAACTGCGGACTGCAAGTTCACGTTACAAGTGATAGGTTTAGAAGTTGGGCGCTTCTTTGAAGCACGGAGAGTGGCGCTAGGTAAGTGCGCATTAGAGCGTACTCGGAATCCAGACACGTGCTCCAAATGCACAGACAGTCTTGAATTGGTGGGCGCCATCGATAGCTGATGACGAAATGATCAATCCGGATCCAGATCATCGAGGAATTCGATAGGCATCAAGTGAGGACGATGTGAATGTTTGTGCTGGAAAGCAGTACAACTAACATAAAAGTTGTGGACGAAACATCGTTGTGAGGACCGATCTTCATTGTTTGTTCGGTGTGTATGGATCCTGAAGCGGCCTCCCAGGTGTTGTTCAGCGTCTGAAAGATGATCCACTTGGGCATTCTGGTTATCAGAAACAATCATAATTTCAGTTCTTTTTCGCAGAGCGAAGAAGTGTTGAGGGTTCATGACAGAAATTTGCTTTGGTAGTCTCCAAATTGCAGTCAGTGAAGGAATAAACGGAAGCGATGAAAAGGCACTTAGTTTTCAGACTGTGTTTATTAACCCCAATAGAGGTTCGAAGTGAAATCGTACACATGCGAATGTTCACTGGTATCCAGTCGAGTAGATTGCCGTCAGCATGTTTCATGTGGGTGATACCGGCACTATAAATAACTAGAGCCATTGATTCAGCATTACCCGAGACGCGGAATGTGGTCATTGTCTGCAGATTAGGAATCAGGGAGTCGAAGATACGTCATAACGTTATTATCTTTATGCATGTTTCGGATACACAGCAAACATCAATACCAAGAAGGTGAAGAGTGGCAGCCTGTGCTGCCTGCTGGCCGAGCTGACCAACGTGAAATGCAACCTTTGGCTTGAGAAACGAGTTACATATATTGATGACAGCAGTTGCGAGGTCAGCTGTAGTCCCTTGTTCAATGGATGCGTAAGAAAATAGTTGGGTGGGGAAAGAGGACAAGGAGTATTGTTTACGAAGTCACGAGGGTAGGTGATACTCTCCGGACGCCTGCTGCGGGAGAGCGGTTTTTACGCGGTGCCCTACCTTTGACTCAATAGTGTGACGCACAAAGTAGTGGGGCACATGAAGGTTCGTTTGAAGGACCATATCTGGAGCTTCGGCGCAATAACCTGACCCACAAGACAGTGGGGAGTAAATCCAGCTAGGGAGTGTGATTGCGTATGCCCGTCGGGATCTGCTTGAGGTCTGTACGATACAACCTTTGAGGATTTAGAACAATTCAAAGTCTTTTTCGACCGTAGTATGTTATGCACCTGCAATTACGGTCAGCCACAGGTGGGAATTAATGGGTTTGCACCAATTCGACCAAGGGCTGCCTGGCTTGAGGCGAGCGGTGACAAACCCTTGAGCACCGAGCGGTGCCCTCTTACTGTCAGAGATAGTGCGCCGCACTCGTGCTTCACGCCAATCGAAGTCTGAGCTTATAACCCATAAACCTGTTGTCTACCGTGACCGGTTTTTAATGGAAGAGAGCCACAGACCACTCCCTAACCTCCGAAGAGGATTGCGAGACTGGGTTATTCTGACCCCTAATGAATAACCTGTCTGGTATGAGTGGCTCTGAAAGCTCTTAGAAAGTTCTGCCCAGCGTAGCCCAATAGCCCACGGAGGTACGCAAACCATAGCACCCCGTTAAAGTCCAGTTTCGTCGCGATGGTCTACAGCTCGGCAATAGGTCTTGGATCTACTATAAACGTGTAGGTCTGAAATCAGCAGTAGGCTAAAACTTACACGCCGAGTGGGTATACTCTTGAGTGCGTCTAGATTGAAAGCACATACTGAGTACCGCAACTACGGAAAATAGCGATGACACCAACCAATTGATAGTATAACCCATCAGCGAAAATTCCATCACCCAACTTTAGCAAGGATTCGTCTCACAACTGAGCCCGTTTGACTGTGCAGTGAGACCTCTGGATGTGAGACGAACTGTATCGCTTAGCTATATTACGGAAGAGTGCTATCACCCTCAAGGTCGGAAAATCATGCCGACGGTGGCGAGGACAGGCTAAGAGACTCTCATACAACCCGACAAGTATGCCCTCGTCATCTTGCATCTGCGGGCTAACAGAGTGATTGCAGACATGTTGGCACGTAGTATTCCGCTGTAGCAAAAACCAGGTGAACACAAGTAATTCGACCGTATTGAGTGTAAAGCACCGTTTATGGATTCAGGAGACGGGATGAAACTAGGAGTTAATAGGTTTTCCGGAAGTAAGGCTCATCATGAAGAGTAAGCGACGAAACACGGAAACATGGAAGTAATTGGCAGCAGAACGATAAAATAATCCACTTTCTGCACTCTTGTCGCAAGATACTCTAAACAATAAAAAAGACGCCGGCGATCTTGGTTCAACTGTCAAAACGTCACCCGACTAGGGCGATCAAAAATAACCTCGATGCAGTCATCGTGAACGACTCGAGGTACGCGGTGGAAAGTGAGAAGAATTAAAACGGTAGAAACTCAGGAGGAATTGCTGTGGAGAAGAGTGAATTGTCGACACACACACCAAAAAAGGCGGAACTCACCATCATAAGCACCATGTAAATGTAGGGTCCAGAGAAGCGCCAGATTTGCATCAACTCCAAGAAGCGCATTTGCCTAAAAAATACAAGCGCGGCAGATGAATGGCACCAGATGTATAACCAACATGAAAATGTGTTTACTACCGATGACATATGGCATGTATGAAAAGCAAACAGGTATAGGCACAAGGAAATGCAAAGTATGGCTAAAATGTCTCATTGCTCTGAGCACTGCAGTTTGGTTTTCACCGTGTAGTAGGTGACGGCCACGGGAAACTATCATTCACAAATATCATTAGTCATATACCATGCTCACCAAAGTCATGTGGAGTTATGAATGGTCTGAGCGGTGTTGGCCCAGTATCAGGTAGTGTCAGTCTCGCGTATTTCGTATGTTAATGAGATTTTGAAGAGTTGACGAAATCGGAGATGACGTGCCAAACAGCGTTCATGACGTTCATGACTCAGTGACAAGACGGTACACAAAAGAGGTGGACCAGTCCGCCTCCACTTACCCCTCTTTTTTGGATTCGCTCACGTCGCACGCAGATTGCTAACTTGTATCCGAGTTCACAAATGAAGCACCGGACTGCACTTCGGGAGGCTATGCAACTCTACTCGCCTTCCTGCCTAACCTACATGTGTTAGTGACCCGATGCGGAAGGCGAACGGAACAGACGCACAGCCAATTGGTGGAAAACCAATTACCGACCAACCGAAATTTCGTCGATGGATAAACCAACTGGGGCTAGCTGCAGGAATAGCTGGAACAGGCAAAGAATTGGTTGGGCGTGGAGTAAACAGAGCGTAATGTAGTTCCAAACAAAGAATGAACGGGCCGGCCCGAACCCCGGTAAACGGCAAGTGAGCATGGGTACAGACGGATGTAAAGAACGAGTTAATGAGACGAACGGCGGTACGGCGACTCGAAGTTAAGTGCAGCGAAAAACTCACACTGCAAATGACCGCGTTACATGCCTGAATAAGCCTTATCTCTGATCGGTTTCCAGACATTCTTCTGACTCTTGTGAGATTAGACAATATTCTTCTGTTGAATGAGAGCTGGTGAGGTGTACATGGCCTGGTGTGCAATCGGTTTAGAGTCGAAATAAGTACCTAGTTTATCCCATCTCTATATTTGCCGATATCCGACGATAGCGTCGCATTCGCAACCAAGATACAATCTATCGTTCCACTTCGTTCGATGGGTAGATCGGTAGAAGATATTAGACAGTTCAGAACGCCGAAAATATTTAGGAGTACCAAGGCACCTCAGGAAAAATCATAACAGGAGTGCTAAATGCAAGTCTGGCAATCGACGAAGTAATTAAAGATGGAGCGAATAACGAGTAGCGAGTGGCACGAGGAAATAAGAAAGACAAAGCCATCATAACCACCCTACGGCCCCTATGCTATGTTAACTCTTTACTTAAGTAAGGTGACAATTGACCAGGCTTACCTCCCGGCTCTCCTGTGCACATAGAAAATGAAGAGGTGAAACAAACCGAGCCTGTCTGGAGATACTGTCACCATTGAGTATCTCCATTGTTGGGTTCTAGAGTACCCACTGACAACTTGAATGGCGACACTCCATCACTATTGGGATCAGATGGACAGTATCCGAATTGCTCTCTCTCTCTCTCTCTCTCTCTCTCTCTCTCTCGCAACATTGCACTCAATGACCGGGTTGGTATTTGTTTGGAATCGCTATGTAGACATAGCGGGGACCGCGAAAACCTACAATGTGCTTTTAACCGCCACGTCAAGCATTACTCGCGGATCTCAATGAATCAGTGATACATGGCGTCAGCCGTCAACCAATAGGTACACGGAGTTCCACACTCAGCTACGGATATCTATCCGGTCGTGGAGTACGGCGCTAGGAGGGAGTAGCATCATGACTCTCCGCATAGTTGAACTGCACCTCGAATCACCGAGGAATATACCATTTAACTGATAAAATATCCCGGGAGTAGACATCAGAACAAATGTTAGCGAACAAGCTCGTTTTCAGTGGTTCCTCATCAGGCTAATACACCACAAATGAATGACATGAAGCGTAAACATCAATTAAGAGTACAGGTTCAACACAATATACCATTTATTTATTTATTTCTTCCCAATTACTATTTAGCCAAACAAACTGTTGTCGAAATCCCGAATGTATACAGATTTGTCCATGCAATAGCACGAAATCTCGGTTCTTTTTGATCTGATCCTACTCAGTCTCTAACACTGCCGATGAATGTAGCATATATCTATTTATCTTGACTCAAGTCCTTATAGCTAAGTCACAAATCCAAGGTACTTCAAATACTACAAGTAGATTATAACACGTCAATACCCGTGATATTTGCGCGCGCATTGATCTCGTCAAGCGAGTTGAAGAGCACTGTGAGTAGCTCCACACAAGAGAGTTAAACCTAATTGTATCACAATTCTTAACACAGTAAAACCTCCAAAGTTGACCACTTTTTCGTAGCTTGAACGGTCACTATGTAAACCCTATGGAAGCAGACCTCTGTAAGTTGTATGTTAACCACTTAGGCTATGACAATCAGTACTAATAGAACCTTCATAACTTGACCATTTGAGGGTTTAGCATCCAATGTTTCCAGATTGGCTCGTTAGTTCCGATAACACGGTGTGCAGTGGGACTGTAATGTGTGGAAGTATGACCCCTAAATCAGTAAGGATACAGCATGTTCTCTGTGTGTATATGCGTGTTTGTCCCGGCCGTCGGCGTTTACACACCCACTTAGGGGTTCCCAACCCGGGGGTAATTACCCCCAAAAGGGTAAAATGGCATTTTGCGGGGGATAAATATTAATACGAGGATTGGGTCATCAATCGGTCGCTAAATAAGTTTAATAACAAAATCATCTGTATCAAAACATGTCGCTAACTACCTATGCACCTTGGATTAGGCATCAGTGACCAGTCATTAGTCACTGCAACCAGATGACGCCTCTATCGGTTACCGTGGCTATCGTCAGGCGGCCGTTCGTCGGGCTAAACAACGGTCAAATGTTGCGACCGAAATAATGACAAAACTGCACACGTCCCTAACGGAGACACTATCCTGTGTGCGGTGTGGACAATTGTCGGTACTCGTGTAAATGCAACAACATATTCACAGTGAACCCAAGGATCAAGGGTGTGAGCTAGGGAATGCACCACATAGTGAATGTGAACGGTAATATTATTATTTACGTATCTTTGTGCGAAGATATCTTCAGAGTGGGTAGTTTATAGTGTTCCGATGTTCGCACGGCTGCAGTTTAAAAACCCCAATTATGAGGAATTTGCGCATTTGCAAGATATATTTCCTGAGTTCAGATAGATGGCAGTAATGACTTTAAAATTCCGCTTGTCTGTATCTGATGTTCTGTCAGTACCACGTTTAACAACGTAGAACTATGTCGACAAGCGGTATAAAAGTTGAAGTAACGGATTCTTGCGCACCCAAGTCGTGTTGAGAGATATATGTGTCGTACATAATCCGGCTACTTGGCAGTATTTCGCACTTACACGACAGGCAATGACATTTGTGACAAATGGCACCAGGATATAAGCGATGATCAGGTATCGTGACACTTGATCATCCTGTCCACGGTATTGGCTCAGTGTAACACTTAGTCAACGGGATAGTCAACTTTTTTGACGAACGGGGATTTCAGACACTGTGAGCATCGAGAAGACATCCAGGATGACAAAGCAGGCCAGGAGAATAGATTCGTACCGGTGACCTTATGACTGCAAGCCAGGCGTGCAGACCACTCGGCCACCAGTCTTCCCGGTGTCTTTTCAGGTTAGTAAGCAGTTTCGCCCTGAAACGTTGGCAAGTGTCTATCAGTTCCTGAGACTGCGTAGTGACCCAATGTCCAGGTTGGTGATTTGATTTGCCACATTAAGACATACCCGCTGTTAACAAAGTCTGCCGGATTTTCGACCAGTGATGTTCAATTGTGTTCGATGAGAGCTTATTCAGCTTGGATGCCAGCGTTTTCAAGTAGTGCACGAAAGGTGTGCCTGTAAATTTTGAACACGAGTATTTTAACAATACACATAGCTGCATTCACGACAGCAGTCTAAAATTACGTCTGTGATTGTTGTTATGTGAAACGAAATATTGAATGGCAATTTCAATTATGAGCCTAACAACTGCGAAAGCGGCAGCAATTATACGTCCGCCACGGACAGCAAAAGTAGTTGCTACGCCACTGTAGCCACGTCAACTACACCCCCATTTGTTTACGCACGCTATTGGGTCGAACGAGGGATCATCCCAAACGATCAAGGCAGTATCCAAGTCGTACTGGACAGCTATTCGGGCTTTTCTGGCACGTAAATTAAATTGGTCTTGCTGTAGGAATGGTTGTATTTAAATCTAAAGTACAGATTCCGAACCGGCTGATGTGGGATCCGAACTTGACAGACCAACTTCCAATCGGGTAAGGAATTAACACGCCAGTGTACTCAAATACAGCGGACAAACATCGCATAGAGACGGTTTCCATTAGACACGCGATGCATTCGTTAAGCTTCAATGACGAGATCTTGTCTGGCAATAGACGCGTTTGTGAACTCGCGTCTGTGCACCTATCAGTTCCTCACTCTTGGAAAAGGCTGACATGATGTACGCAGTAAGTTCCTATTCACTACTATTCAACTATCCATGCTGATATCCCAGACTCTGATATATCTGACAGTTGCTTCACCCGGCAAGCTCACTTGGTCCTACAATGCGCCTTCTAAACATCCTAGTTTTCCGAACAAAGAAACCGTATCTACATTATCTCAGGTTGATAATGAAAGAGTACGGTGCAGCGAATACCAACACGAAAGGACCATAAGTTGAACGTACCACTCGGGCATGGTTCACTGGAAGCCGGTCCTGTGTCACTCCCTTGCGCTAGACATCAGATATCGCTTCAACCATCGTACGAACACACAAGCTTACGTAGGTGTATACATAATTTGAGAAAACAGTGAATACTCACACGTCCCTACGCGCTGCCAGTGACGTGCTATACAACCAGATACGTAAAAGTTAGGTCAGCAGCGTGATCAAAACATGTTATATTTTCTAGACAATTAGGAAATTGTACACGCATATGTCGAATAGCATAGCGATATTCCACAACGATGATATCCTCGGTGGCTGTTCCGACAATGCGTTTAAGGAACTGCAGTCTCCATTCCATCTGCGCCATGAGTTTCTGGGGATCCCCGGCCAGTTCGTCGTAGTGCACCCTCATCTCATTCTTCACTCTGGCCTTCACCACCTGCCAAAAATGCTCGATCGGATTGAGGAACGGAGAGTATGGGCGTAATCTCCGCATGATTGCTCCCTCGTATTCATCTACTGACGAGTTCTTCCAGTCGTGTGTGACATGGTGCATTATAACACACCACGACAATCTGCGGGAGCTCCATCTCCCGTTTCAAATTGTCTAAATCGCTTCGCAGCCATTCGAGAGCTAGGGGACCTGTGAATGAGCCCCTCCGGGTGGTCATCGACACTCCATTCCATCGTGAGTGCACTGATTAAATGCAAATTGTGCCCTCTGCTGTTGGCAACTTAGCAACAGACCCTCACTCCTCTGGGCGCCCGACCACGAATACGTTTGCAGTAAATGTTGAAGTTCGCTTCGTCAATCCAAATGAAGAACTTGCCATCGCTCTTAAGTTGGAGAAACTGCCGAACGAATTCCCTGCGTATCCCCTTGTTTCGCTCATTGTTCATTCCCTCGGGAACCTGATAGATATTCTTCGTCGTTGTCAATCGACCATCTAGGTGCCGTGCGATTGTTGACTTCGAAATGTCCTTGTCCATTTCTGCACGTACTCGCATTTCCAGTAGCCTAAGAGTTGAATCCCTTGCTATCCAATCCAGGATGTCATCTACATCTTCCGACAAAATCCGCTTACGACTGCGCCTGCGGTAGTACGCGGCTCCTGATCAAGAGAACGAAGAATCCAGGAGTAGGCTGTTTGATATTTGACGTTGTTCACAGTTGCCACAAGCTGCCAGCCATCACCGTTGACGGAAGCGTCCAAAACTCGGTCACGAATATCTGATGAGATACTCTGTCGAACGCGAGAACGCATGCCGACGACGTTAGAATCATATACCTGGTTTCGGTCGTGCGCTTATGTTCCAGCTGTTCATTACTCTCAGACCAATTGTGATCCATCGTTTCGGACGTGAGGGGGGCGCATACAAGCCCGCTGCACCCTCGAAGTGCATTCCTCTAAGGTTCATTCACAAGTCTCACCCAGTCATCGGGCAGCGCGCTCACTTCCCCAGATTAACGTACCGAACCTTGGCATCCGGCCAAAGAGAACACACTTAAGGTCAGAGGATTGGCTCTGAGCGGCTGGCCAATCGCACAGGGTTTTGCAACATTTTGGACTTGCTTTGCAAAATTTTGCTCCTTTTTTGCAAAATTTTGGACCTCTTATTCATCCTTATATCAACTCCGTGTTTTGAACAAGTTATGATCGGTCACTGCGAGTAATTCAATGTTATGGCTCAAATAAAGGAGCTCAGATTTAAATTGCAGTTAAAGTTGGCTTGCTACATTTTTGGAAGGCGGTAGCGAAAGATGGCCGACAGAGCATTTGGTGTTAGTAAGACGACAGCAACATCCTAAAACGTATACACGAATACTGGGATAGATTCGATAATGAAATGTTAGATTTGCAGCCTAAGATGCGAAAACTTCACACGATGAAGTCAATGAAGCTGCACTGCACTGGTTCAAGCAAATATGGGCAGCTAACACTCGAATTTCTGTTCCGATGATTCCAAAAATTGCTATTTCTCGCAAGCATTTGGGGTTGCAATATTTTAGGCCTGTAATGGTTGTCAAGAAAAACTTAAAGTCCAAATTGACATTTCCCAAAGAGTTTTGTGTGGTGAGTCCAATGAAGTACCTGAAGAGTTTGTTCAGTACTGCAACGAAAAACTGCCAACAATGACGAAATTGTAAGGCTGATGATAGCACACTTTTTCAAGTTCATGCCCAGCAGTAGCCCTGTTATAAAGGGGGAGCAAGGTAAGAGTGGAAACATTCCAAATAACATTTCACAGTCCTGTTGTTCGCCAGCTCAAATGAAGAGAAGCTGAAGCCACTGGCGTTTGATAAACCAGTTAGAAACGTGCGTTCAGAAACCTGTCCTGAAAACTTTCCAGTCATCTGAAGAGTAAACCAATCCGCGTGGATGTCTACTGTCATATTTGAGAAGTGGATCAGAATTCTCAACAAAGAAATGCCGAAGAATAAATGGTTCATTATCCTAGTAGTGGACAACTTTCCTAGTCACACCCATGTAAAAAGGCTCATAAATATTATACCTGGGTTTCTGCCTGCAAACATGACCTCAAATTTAACCTCTGGACCAAGGGATCATCAAAATATTCAAAATGCACTAATGAGCCCAGCTCATGCAATGGGCTTCGGCAAAATGGTATACTAAAGATTCTCACGGGAAAGAACCTTCATCTGTTGCTTTAGTTCATGCCATGGATGCTGTGCTTTGATTAACTTTCACTTGGCTCAAAATTCAATAATACAGAAGTGTTTCAGAAAAACCGGATTTATTCGACCTCTCGAGTGGGATACCGTTGCCTTATTAAAGCTCCCATCTCCATTGGCAAAATTCGACGAAATATATAAAGAGTTTGTTGAAATGGATGATGACTTGCTAACATACACTGAACCAGACCCAGATGCTAGTTTCCTAGAGATACTCAATGCGATACTACCCTACGGAAACAAAGAACAAACACCTGATGATGCTGATGAAGAAGTAGAAGGACTGGGCGACGACGCATTGGAAAGCACAGAAACAGACATCTTTTTATCCAAATGAAATCATCTGCTGTGAAAAAAGTTCAAAATATGCGAAGTAGTGTGATATGTGCTTAGAGCGCTTTTTGCAGGTACCTTTGTGATAAGAGAAAGAAACATACAGATTGCTTTTTTCTACAAAAAAGGTGTTAACTTGTGAAATGCACAATGCGCTTTGTGTATGCTTTAACTGCATGTGCCGTTACGTGAGACTTCGTCTCATGTGTTCTAAACGGATGTACGTGAAAATAAATTACATATTATACTACTCAAAACGGGAAACTAGGTTGTGTTAAGTTGTGGCGTAGAACCTCAGTAAGTTGACCACCTCTCTATGTTGACCACTCTGGTCCAGTCCCTTAAGTTGTCAACTTATGTTAGTCGTCGTTAGCACTCCTGAGTTGTGCTCCATTGAATACTGTCATGAGGTACTAATGAGTAAGAAATTATGGATGTAATTAATTGAAAGTTCATCGCAGCAGCTTCCAAATCAGAGAGTCCTCCGTATGCCCAGAAAAGCACTAGAAGGGCCGTTTGGATCTGCTGGATCTCGTCAGTAGCGTGCATCCATCGGGATTTGAACCAATGACCTTAGTAGCTCCAGATACTTGACGGTTTGTGATTTGGTACAAAGTTCCTGTAAAGTACCTGAAGAGCGTCCATTGGCGAAACGTATCCAACAATGTGTCACCGTATACTAAAGTAAATTTGTGTTCTGATTAAGAAATAACCTTACCAATTAGGTTGAACTTCTCCGGCCGATCATGATCGGACACCATTCGTTGGACCGTATCTCGCACCATCGATAAATGTACCATCCACTTATTCATGAAGTTGTGTAACCAGCCAGCAGACTTTATCATACAGTCCACAGACAGAGCAATGTACTGGACCGCTATTATATGCAACACCGAGGCGGACGGAAGACTGATGCACACGGTCACATTACAATGTACTGAGACGCTACGCGGTCGCACCAACTCAAAATGGTGGGTGAAATTCGTTGATAAGAAGGTTAGCTGTTTGCTTCAACACCCAAAAGCAAAGGTTAGCAAGTTCACTAGGGAGTTAGTACACTTAAAATGCGGAATTACAAGGGATACAGAGAAAAACCATGATTAATTGATACAACTCACCAGATGGAACAACATATAATCAGCAGATTCTTCCCCCACATATATATGGGTGGATGGATTACACCAATGTAGCGTAGGATTATACCGATAAGGGACAACGAGCACATAACTGTGTCGTAAATGTTCCACAGAGAAGCGAGGTGAATACGGACCTTTTGATACCAGCTTCCTCCTTTGATAAGCGCAAGCTAAGGACACATAGAGAGAGAGAGAGAGGATAAATGATTGCTTGTGAGGTTTGACAGCACACAACAAAAGCGGATCCACGACTAGTTAAAGAAATGGAGTAACAAACTTATGCTGAATGACTAACCTACATGGATTTAGCAGTAACATTAATAATACAGTCCAAGCTGTGTACGGCAACCAGCCAAAAAACATCCCCTAAATATTCTCCTAAGAGTAATGTCCCTGAGCATGAACCTGTTTATGGTGACCACCAGTCCAAGGTGACCACTTGTGTCGGTCCGTCGAGTGGTCGCCTTAGACAGGTTTGACTGTACTAGCTTCCCAACACCGCACCACAAGAGTAACTTTGTACTGCGGGACTCATTGGTGGCAGATTGCAAACATGGTCACGGGAAGTAACACAATACTTAGCACGATTTGAGTTAAATTAGTTAGGTGACAGCCGACCATAGAGGCATTCGAAATAACGGACGGGTGGTGAAGGATCGGGCGTGACCGGTGGTTCAAGGGAGTTGCTCATCATCTGAAATTTGTTGATGGTGCGCATTGCACAAGTCAAAACTTCGTGGTTCGGAGTGCTCCGTCTGAAGCAGGTCGACGGCTACCCAGAAGCAAGATGGGGTCATCTCATCGGATGGCGCTATTGGAGGATAACGTAACGACGAGAAAGGACACGATAACCGGGACCATTGACTCGGTGATTTCAATTAGGTTAGAAAAGTGAGACCCACGCGACGTCAGCACAAGTCGGCGCGAAAACCAACATTATCTATCAACATTGACTCAGGCTCTACCTTGCAAGCGCTGCCCAACGATGAGCAAAACGGCTGTTATCTTCAGATGACAGTGTTTGGATGGCCTGGCTTCCACAAGTAAGGCAATCAATTATCAATCAAGGTGCTTGTTCGTACAAGGGCTGCGCGGGAGGCAGAAAGAAGTAATTGCATAAAATCAGTGGCGTAGCAAGGAGGGACTAAGAGGCGGTCCGCCCGAGGCGGCCTTTTTAGTATAGATGACTGTTCGATACCAAGTGTAAACGTATTGTTCCCCCTTATGTAGTATTGAAACACAATGCCTTCATTGTGTGTAATGGACAAATTCTCAAACCCCCAGAGCTCATGGTAGCCCCGTTGCTTCTGATTGGTCCTGTGTAAGTCCGTTTTAAGCCACACTGCATTGAGAAGAGTTCATTTCCAAGTGTGTCTTGAAGACATCTTGTTGGCTATTTTGGAGTGTTGCTGCTGTTACTGATATGCATAGATTATTGAGGCATTGTAAATTTGTCGTTTTTAGTTGCTAGCAAACGATACCGTATACAATTCTGGCTTAGTTCCTGTTGATTACAGTGGAAACGAGTCCGCTCAAGGTTTCCAAGCGATTTGACGGTTACAGTTATTGATACCTTTGTCACAAGTGAAACACGAAAAGTGCACGTGTAGTTTTAGTACACGGATATGGTAACAATAGAAATCCATGCATTTACAGCAACACCCAAAAATTAGACCATTGATTGCTGCTCTATGAAACGAAATCTTGATCGACTGTATGCACTCGTAAGGGTTTAAGGATTTATATCTGAAAAACGGAGGTGATAATCTTACAATTGACCCAAGGGGCAAAAGCAGTTGCTATGCCATTGTAAAGAGTAGTAAACTTCATTCTCAAATGGGGCAATCCATTCTGCTACTTTTATAGGCAATATTCCAATATTCCGACAAGACGCGCGGATCGCATCAAAGCGCGAGCATGGTGGCTAACTACTTGTAGCCGACTATGCTGGCGGTAGTGACCTGCAGTCACGGGTAATGCGTAACAGCTGATTCGAACGCATAGTATCATATCTTGCGGGATACAATTATGCAGAGAACCGCTGTGCCATGTTTCCGGCCTGATAATTCATGGCAGAATGTAGTTGGTAAACAGTATTTTCAAGTCAAGCGCACAATAGTTTGCATGTGAAACTAAGTTGAGCCAATGTTCAACGGCCGATTGGAAGGAACATCTGCTCGACTTTAAGAATAGTGCAAGCAGAAATATAAATGGATGGTCTTGAAGCCACCATGAATTCTCCGATGTAAATGACGTATAAGCCGGAATATTAGAAAGTGAGCTTTTTGAGGTATCTTTGGGGAGATCAGATGCAGCCAGATGAAGTAGGAGAGCCGTTAGACATTCGGAAAAGATCTAAACGGCTATTAGGCCCAAATCGGGCTCGTCAAAAGAGTTCCCCCGCCCCTGAATCATAGGGAGCTCAAATACACGACCATACAACTATCAGCCAATGACCTTGGCCACTGGTGACGGCGGCGGACTGTCACAATTGTCAGGCCCTGACACTCACTGAAATGCCCATACCTGCGCCGCCTAGGTTCCGAATAGAAAGTAATGGGGAGATGAAAAGAATGCATGCGGGAAACTCGCTCTTACTCTCGAACAGGAAACGTGAGACAAACATGCACGCAAACACACGTAACGGGACCTACCTCACGAAATTTGTCCAAGAAGTAAGTCAGGATGTGCAGATAGACGTAGAGCTCCAAAAAGGACCAGGAATTGGCAGGTATCGTGTGGATTGACAAGCCAATGTAAAGAATGATGAAGACTAGGTAGAGAAACTGGAAGACAGAGGAAGCGGCAGTACGTTAAACAAGAATATAAGCATAAACGACGACGGCGTACATAAATTCAAACAACAAACATCGGAAGAAGGGGAAGGAAGGTAATTTGTGCCTACCAGAACAGTCTATATCAGTTGGCCAGATTGTAAGTATAATTCGTATGGAAGCAGGCTAAACAACCGCAAGAGATTAAGTGGGTAGATGATATGCATCAGTCAGCATCAACCATCGTTGAGCATTTTGAAATAGATTACAGCCCAGTTTCAAATGATTGACACGAAAACCGTGACTCAGCGCAAGGATGATACTCCTAAGCAAGGACGGACCTCTTGATGGGAAGTAAACCACCAGGCAACGAACAGAAGACGTGACCGCTGACACCACATCTGAGATGACAAGTCGAGTTGACCGCTCCTGAAAATGGGCTGAGACAGCATAAATTAGTGATGCAGAGGGGTACCAATAAAGTTGAAGTTTGGGTCCGGTCACTGTCCAAGTAAGCTTACATAAATCCGAGAAACATCTCCGCACTAAACATGCTGGTCACAAGGTACTGCCCACCCATGGATGCTGACGATCGTGTGGCTCAAATATAACTTAAGGCGGCTATACATAGGACGATAGACAACTGCCCCTGAGGGGTTCGGAATCGTGGCCGGGAGGGATAGAGGTAAGTAGTTCTGATCTGATGATCCAAAGTCCTGGCTGCATTAATTCACGAGTGAAAATAGATACTGAGAGAAGTCACCATGGGAGCTCGCATCACTGAAACCGCAAAACAGGCAAGGTAATGACGTTTGATTTAACAAACACCGGATGTGTGTACATATGAATTCAACATAAATGTGTTGGTGACTACAATAACGTTTAGCGGTTGGAAGGAAGTATGGTGATCGGTATCTAAAAGGACCAGTGCGTTAAGATCCACGAACGTTCAGGCAAAAAAGGAAGTCACTATATTGTGTTGTTTCTGCTATAATGTGGAGACCTAATCTTCAGAATCGGTTCGCTTGGTTCAGATGAGTGGCTAGTTTCGCGTCCGGATCAACAGACTACGACGGAAAATACCCAACGGGGCTTTTGTCTCTGTGGCGGAAGGCACGAGAAGGACAATCATAGGGAGATAGCTAAACTAATCTACACCATTTTCTGTCCAGTTGGCCCAAACTGGAAGCAGCTTCAGTTATACAGCAAATAAATTCTTCTATCATTCAGACATGTAGGTCCGATCACCAAGCAAATTGAGTCAGGCAGCATCACAGCGTGCACCGGCACGCAGCTGCCTCATTGGCCAAAAAGACATCGGACTACATTCACATCCCCGTCACGTGATCGTTCACCACCGATGGGATAACATGCACGCAACCCAATTCGGGCTTAAGATACCTACTTGCACCTTTGTAGTTTTACATGCGCACACGCGCTCATATATTTGAGTCCAATATCCTTTTATATATATATATATATATATATATATATATATATATATATATATATATATATATATATATATATATATATATATATATATATATATATATATATATATATATATAGCGGCTCGTCAGTTGCAAAAGAAGTGCAGAGAATGACACAGGCAGTTGTACCCGCTTTTTGTTGATTTCCCCAAAGCATTTGATACGGTGAACCGCTAGGCATTGTGCCTGGTGTTTGGTAAGTTTGGTTGCCCGTTTGTAAGTTTAACTGAATGTCTGCACAGTGGTATGCGAGCGAGGGTGCAGCTGAGTGGAGAGACCTCGGATGACTTTGCAGTTGTCTCTGGTGTGAAGCAAGACTGTGTCTTAGCTCGTGCCCTGTTTAATATCTATCTTCATGCAATGTTGTCTTGTGCTTTTGATGCGGCTTGTGCTTACGGTGTTCGTGTGGAGCACCGTATTGATGGTGGGTTGCTGAACATCCGTCGTTTCTGTGCGAGAACTCTAGTCTGTGAGACAACTATCCGTATGTTGCTGTTTGCTGTTGTTCGCACACAGCGCGGATGAGCTGCAGCACATGACTAGTGGTCTGGCTTCGACAGCGGCTAAATTCGGGCTCACCATCAACACAAGCAAAACTGTCTGTCTCTTTCAGCCTTCATCGGAGGTGCAATCTTCAATATTGCCGCGAATCAGCATTGGCGCTGAAGTATTGGAAACCACCTCCCGTTTCAGCTACCTTGGGAGTGTGATGTCAACTGATCAGCAGCTACACGTTGAGCTGCGTATTCGCGTGTCGAAGGCAGCGGCTGTATTCTGGAAGCTTGAGTACCGAGTGTGGAACAACCATCAGCTTACCATTGGCACGAAGCTGATGGTGTACAAATCCATGGTACTGTCCGTTCTTCTATACGGCAGTGAAATGTGGACGATGTACCGTCGGGGTGTGTGATATCTCGAGCGGTTCCATCAGCAGTGTTTGCGACGGATTTCGCGCATCGGTTGGGGCGAAAGAGTTGCTGACAGGGAAGTGTTGCGACAAAGTGGAATGTATGCAGTGGACTGCATACTTTTGCTGAGACAACTGATGTGGCTCGATCATGCGAACTTATGGATTCGACGCGGATAACGAAGCAGCTATTATATGGCCACACCGCCTTCAAAGAGTCAAAGAATTCCTTGTGTTAGCGGCCTTCGGCGTAGCATTCCATCTGCTTCGCATTCTCCGTCCACCATGCATTTTTAATGCGACGTAACTCTCGAGTCAGTCGCCGTCGAAGTTTGTGAAACTGACTACTCTTCCCCAAGTCAAGAGGGCCATCGACCACTACGTAACCTCCGAAGACGATGGACTAGGATACTGACAGGGCGCCCACACCTGACAGGAGAACGACTCGGGTCCTCAGCCAAAGCCTTCGATTAAATAAACCCCGGAAAGGCAGCGGGTCTAGCACATGGTCAGTTCACTAACTCATGCGGATTGATGTCCTGGATCTTACCAGGGAGAAGCGGGTAACCCAGCTCCCACCAAGCGGTCGCCACGAGGAGGCGCCCAGGACACGAACCAATGGTACAGCAGTAGCAGCAGTGGGTAGACCAACTGTCAGGATCTAGCCACCATCAGCGTCAGGGAACGATAGGCTCTCCGGTTTATATATATATATATATATATATATATATATATATATATATATATATATATATATATATATCAACCCTGTGGTACAGATATTGTGTCATCGGAATCATGTCTGAATAGGAGAACAGCGTCAATAATAAGAAAGCAACAACAAAAGCTTTTTTTGTCCAGTTTACCACTCACATTTCTTGAATTTCTTTTTAGTTTGTTTTCCTAGGGGGCGAGAAAGAGGGACACCGCAACACACCGATGCACACGTCCGCCACTGACATCGATGTTGAGCCACGATTTCAAAGGTCTTCAACCAGCAAGTATCCGCATCTCTCGGACCCCAACCAGGTAGTCGACAACAACCGACCGAGGCCAACTGTTGCGTCAGCTTTTTCATACGACATCAAGTTGCAGGCTGTCCCCCAGACGGTCTCTTCCAGCCCTGTCCAACAACCGCAAACAACGTACGACGCGGGTAACGCTGGACAGGCACGCGCAATAAATGTCCCAGCCACCGCAGTTGATACAATCAGATGAGCTCCTCTAGCGAGTGGCTTCCTCGTCCCAAGACACGCTGTCTAACTTTCATATTGCTTACGTGGTGCCGCCACCACACACGAGCAATGGACCACAGACAGCGGTGCTCGAAGACGGATAGCCTGCGCAAGTCATCTTTACGAATGGGACAGGTCTCGCATCCGTACAACAGTACAGCACGAACAGTCGCACAATAAACCCGCCCTTTGATGCAGAGCCGAATGTCTTGGCGACGCCACAAGTGCTTCAACCTAGAAACAGCGAGGCGTGCTCTCGAGATGCGCATCAAAATCGTCTCCAACAGCCCCGCCAACAGTTATGAAACTTCCCAAGTAGACAGAGCTCTCCACAACCTCCAGTGTCTCACCACCAAGAGTGAGTGCAGGCAGAGGCACCTGCCAGTCTTGGAAGAGAGCCTTGCATTTGGATGGCCAAAAGTATATACCATACTTTGATGCTTCAATCTCCAAGCGGTTTAGTGCAAGTTGGACGACGTGTGGATTGTCATCCAGCAAGAAGATTTCATCAGCAGAATCCAAATCAACAACTCGACTACATGGGAGAAGCTCAACGCCAGCGTTCAACGAATCGCCCAGAGCGTTCTTCAGGACATCCTCAATGACAAGTTGAATAGGAACGGAGAGATAGGGCATCCTTGTCGAACTGCACTGGAGACCACAAAGGTATGCGAAAGCTTGCCATAAGCCCTAACCCTGCCCGAGGTCAGACTATAGAGAGCGCGCAGTATGGAGACAAACTTCTCGGGGACACCATTCCTCAGTACGTAGTGCCACAGTACCGTCCGACCGACAGAATCGAAGGCTGCACGGATATCCAAAACACAGCAATCGTTGGCCTCTGATACACATGGCGGAGCTCGAGGATCTGGAGGAGTGTGAAGATTTGATCGATGCAGCCGCGACCAGGACGAAACCAAGCTTGTTCTTCACATTGCAACGATTCGCGCGTTGGGAATAGCCTGCGAAGTATGATGGACACCAGCAGCTTGCAAAAGACAGGGACTAAGCTTATGCTTCTGTAGTTGGAGAAGATGGTGCGCAGGTCATTTTTAAAGATGGGGACGACTATCGATTCACCCCAAGATGATTGAACTTCCTCTTTCGACCAAACTTTCGAGAACAAAGCAGTGAGTTCTCGAACCAGCGAAACGCCCCCATCTTTAAATAGAGCAGGAGGAAGACCAGCAGAGTCGGGGGCTTTATAACGCTTCAAGTGGCGGAGCTTCTGCGCGATTTCTTGGTAAGAGGGAGGATCTGTGGGGGTAGACTACTCGGCCCCAGCGCGGACGCCAGAGGTATCAGATGGGGGCCAACAAACCTGCCATCCAAAATGTTCGGCCCATCGCTCCAACCGTCGTTGAAGATTGATGATTAAGGTGCCATCCTCTTCGCATAGTGTTTTACGTATACCAGATTGAACACCAACGGTGACTCGAATGAGATGGGCGAGGTAATGCCGCCTGACTCAATTTGGTTGACGTATAGACCAACATACTTAAATGACAGAGGGATTTAATTAGGGTACGGTAGAAGTTGCTTCCAGTGTGAACCAACCTGACCGAAAAGTGGTATAACATAGGTGTGGTGTTTGCCGAAAGAAATAAAGTTAAAAGGCACGTAGAGATGGAACAGATGGTTTTGACATGCCGTACTCACCTCGTACCTTAACCGGCTATGCTGTCGCCACGAGGATACAAGTACAAATTACTGACGGGTTCATACGGTGAGAAAGGACATTTACTGTCGCGCCTAGGCAGTGGCGATCAATCAAGGGATCAACTTGAAACTACTGACGAGTTTGCTGTGTTTGTTTCCCGACTTTTGTTAATTCTATTTTCTCAAGATACGCAATAATACAACATATTGGCCCTCGCTAGTCACCCTAGTAACGAATGTAAATCATACTTAAATTTGGTGTAGCGTTTCACAGTCTTTCAATCTCACTGTGGAGTCACGACGGCCAAAGGAACTTAGCCTATGCTTTAACTTCTGTCTGTTGTCTTGTATCGCTGAAACACGTATACAAGACAGCAACATTGTAACACTTCTACGACTAATCGATTCTTTCGGCTTACTATAGTGTCGACTTGATGAATTGAGGTAGCTTCGGATTGGAGCAATCATAAACAGTGATACCAAAAACGGTCTACTCAAGGGAATTACTTGGAATAACCGCCTCCAATGACGTTAATAGGCAACATCTGAAGACAGGGTGTCTTTTACTGTAGCTAGGATGAAATCAAGGACCAATGCCATCGGTTACTCTCATTCCGATGGCGAGAAATGCGGATATTGTGATTGCCACTGGTGATAAACGCTCAGGTGGCCCGTTATTAAGGACGGAACATCGCTCCGGAGACCGTTTCGGAGTTGACGTTTCCTCAACAATGCACTAACCATAACTCACTAACACTATCCCCCAACACGAACGTTTGTATCGTATCACCTGATGCTCATCGAACAAGACAATGCCACGGACTCACATGCATCAAAAAGTGGAGATGCATGAGAATGGAGCTGGACATTTAAAAGCACCCGTGAGAAATGCGAAGCATACGAAATTAAGGAGAGAAAACAGACAACAGGGGAAACATGGTGCCGAAGATGCGAGTTAGGAAAAGAGAATCCCGTACCACATGGAGATAAAAGCGCGTGACAGGAGCACTGAAAAATTCGTATATTCTTTTGCGCCAGGATAACGGACGATTGGGAGTCGTCGATGACGGGAACTCCAAGCCCACATGCCAGGGAATGCTGGAGCAATCGCAGACATTAAACTTGCCTTTCTTGTGACTACATGTGCCGCATGCAGTGTGTTCAGAGCGAACATACTTCCCAGTGACAGTACTCCACACATACTGTTGTGAGTCAGTGGGAGGTGCGGTAAAAACGTGCGGTGGACGAACCGCATTTGAAACTCCGCTATCAGTCACCGTGCGTCCAACACGCCTTGAACTTGTCGACCGGTGTCGCGTAGGCTGTCGGGCAGTTGCAGCAACGGAAGCATAGTGGTTTGATGGAAGCAAGGCGGCCAGGTTTGACCTATACGCATGAAGTAAGCAGAGAATGGTTGTGAGAAATTTTGAGGACTCAAGAAACATTAGTTCTTATGGAGGACAAACGAGCTATATTTTCGGACTAAAATGCAATAAGATGACTACAGAACTGCAGGAAAGTGAGTATCTACGGGGGGAAAGGGGTGAAGGACTAGGCCGTACATGACAAAACTGGGTTTGGCTAGAATTGGGAGGTTTATGAAAGGTCGTGTTGCGAAGTGAAGGGTTGAGATTGTGAACCAAGTAGCGCGATGCTGATGGTAAGGAGCGCAGTGAAACAACGAGAGGAATGAAGTTACTCTAACCACCTGGACAACGAACTGGTATGGAATTAACGGTAACAGATGATTGACGGGTTCGCAAGTGTCTCACTCAGCCGCTAACACTTCCGAGCTCTATAATCAAGCATCAGCTAGCGATTCCTCTGATTAAAGCGTGCTGTGAGCAGATTAACATTTAGTTGTTACCAAACGGCGCAAGTGGGCGCAAGCGATCTGACCGGGCTGATTCTCGTCATGACGGGTGAGGCAAAATGAAGTGACACGGCACACGCACAGCAACAATGTGAATTGCATATAAAGACAATCAACGTGCTATGGGTTTCGGTGCTGCTGTCTCCTATCACTGAAGTCCACTACGCGTTTCGACCTTGGTTGGGCTCATCAGGTAGAGATGACCTGATCTGGGAGTGGAACTAGGCACATAGTGGTTGGCGGCTATCATCATAATCACTAGACAATTGAGCGCCGGCAATTAACCAACATGTGATGTCACTGGTGAGTTAATAGAGATCAAAGATCAGTTAAATCTGGCCTGCGCTTCGAGTAATCACCAGCGGTCTGGTCCTGCACTGGTTAGGTTAGTGATCGTTCTCGTTTAGTTACAACGAACGCCAGAGATCAACAACCTTTGACTACCATGACATCGTCTATGACGCTGCCCGTTATATATATATATATATATATATATATATATATATATATATATATATATATATATATATATATATATATATATATATATATATAGTTTTATACGAGCAGTTCGCAGATTACCACAACACATGGGAAACGACAAGATAAAAAACAGAGTGCAGACGAAGCAGTCAAGGGAAAATAGTCTCAAAACACGTTCGCCATTGGGTACGGTTCCGGGCCATTTCCAATGGCTTATCCAACCAAGTGTGCGCATTGTCCTTGGGCCCCCAACCTGGGAGCCTGGAACGTCCCACTGTGGCTGATTGCAATGTCAAGATCTTGACACCAAGGACCCAGGTTGCATGTTGGCCACCTCTCCGCCACCTCCAACCAACGCTGGCGCATGCAAACAAAGCGCGGTCGGACGACTGAGGGGTGGGCATACGGACAACATGCCCGAGCCACCGGATCACAGGCGATGAAATCATTCAGCTTAGTGGTCGGCGGAAACTGTCTGACTTGAAGAGCAGACGTCGAAGGTCGTCAATGTTAATGCGATGCTGTTAACGTACACCAACGATGCGCCGCAGGCAGCGGCGATAAAACGTCACAGTGTTTGGACATCGCTCGCTCGAACACGCCGGGTATCGCAGCCAGACAAGAGCACTGCTCATACTGTATCGTTGTAGAGTAGGCCTTGTAGAGAAAGGTTGAGATTACGCCGACGCCAAAGATGCCAGAGGTAAGCAAAGTCTGCTCTGGCTTTGGTGATGCGCAATTGAATCGCGTTCGTCAACCTGCTCACACTGATGTAACTCCTGGGGCAAACGAACTTGTCGGCAATTTCCAAATGAGAGCCGGAGTGGGTGAGGGTAGGAGCAACTTCTAGCCAGTCCTGGAGGAAAATCTTGAACTTGGAAGGAACAAAAGCCATGATGAACAGTGATAGAGACATGCCCAATCTTCAAAATATCTCCTGGACAGCTTATGAGGAGTTCCAGATTAATGCGATGTCTTCAGTATACTACACTTCACGGAAGCGATTACCACCACTAGATGCAGTTTCCCAGTGTTGTCTCTAAGATGTCATCCATAGCGAAATTGAACAAAAATGGTGCTGCGGAGCACCATTGTCTCTTGCCACTAGGGATACAAAAGCGGGCGGAATTCCGCCGTACACCCGCACACGGCCCGAGAATAAATGGCTTGAAGGATGTTAACATACTTCACGGGAACTCCACTTTTCAGCAGACAACTCCAGCGAGCAGCTCTAGCAAATGCGTCAAATGCTGCACATATATCCAGCAAACAAACGATGGTAGGCCGCTGAAAGCACGATGGTGCGCAAGCGTCTGGTGAATCGTAAAGATGTGATCAATACAGCCCCGAGCTGGGCAAAACCCAGCCTGTTCCTCACGTAGGTGCTATTCGCGCACTCCATTGAGCCTCCGTGAAAGCAGGGAGGCTAGCACTTTGGACGCAATGCGCAGTAGGTTGATCCCTCAGTACTTTGCGCAATCCGTTCGGTCACCTATGTTGAAGATTGGCACGATGTCCACTAGGGATGTCCACTGGGATGATTACTGTGGCCCAAATCTCTTGAAGGAAGTCGGTCAATTTAGAAAGGACAGACGGACGGGCACCCTTAAAAGGAACCGGAAGCAGTTCCCTGAGGCCGGGAGATTGGTAATGTTCCAGAAGTCGAAGCTCATAAGCAACCTCGACCTCAGATAGCGGAGAAGTGTTAACACACTAGGGAACCCCGTGGATAGGGGAATGGCAACTCGAGAGTAATGGTTTCCAGTTGAACTGCTGTTCGAAGTGCTCTGACCAACGTGAACATCAGCGCTGGTGATCACAAATTGGTTCACCACTGGATTCACATATAACTTCGCTTACAGTTGGTTTTTCGCCACTGAAATATCGGATAACAGAAAAGAGTCTAAGGAAGTTCTCTGAGGATACAGCATGTTCCATCTAGATGACACGCCGGGTCCACCCAACTTCGTAATATTTACTTAGGAGCTGTTTGAGCTCGGTGTTGGTAGCCCTGCACAATGACTTATATTCAGCACTAGCAAAAATTGTCCGGCAGTTCTCCATCAATTGAAGAGATCAAGGGAAATCCAGCGGTTGAAGGTATGCTTAGTGAAATCGCAGATGACGCTGGCGGAATTGTGTATGGCTCTCCGGATATGTATCAAATACGCCTCAACACCTAGGAGTGGAGAATTCTTCAGGTTAGAAGCTAGAAGATTCTGAAAAGCACTGAGAATAGTTGTACTGACCAGTTTGGTGACATCGAGCTGTTTCCGAGGACCCTGTTAGGTGCCACCAATGCGGAGGGCAACTTTAGGACACAAAAGTGCGTGAGCAGAGGTGAGATAAGTACTCCAATTCGATTAGTAGTCCTTTATACACTGACGCCAACGGTAACTGATGGTGATGTGGTCAATCTACGTCCACGGCTGTCCAGGCGAAGGAGGTCGCCAGGTGGCGCGCTGGCGCCAAGAGTGCCAAGTTTGTGTTTGAAAGGAATAAACCGTGATCATCGCAGAGTTGTAGAAGTCGTAGTTCGTTATTCGTTCTGCGAGTACCATAGCCAGGCAGACCACCGAGGTCGCGTTCGTCAACATCAACCCTACCAACCTGTGCGCTTAAGTCCCCAGCAAGCACCACCATATCCGTGCAGCAGTTCTTATGAAGAAGAACGGAGAGGTGACAGTAGAACTCATCTTCAGCTGACTCCGGGCTGCAATCCGTGGCAGCATACGCAAATACGACAAACAGCATTTGGCAGCCTAACGGCTGGACAGTCGTACAGAGCTTTCTAGCCGAATCGCATAGAGTAGGCTATTAACTGGGATCCAACGAAGTAGCACAGCGTCTGCACGCGCACTCAACACAATTCTCATACCGGCCAAGCCCGCGGCTACAGCAGTGGCGTCTCCGGATAATCGATGTGTGAACATACCGTGGGAGCACGCAAAGGTGGTGTCGACCGTAGGGTTTTGCTGCAGTTCTGCAAGCGGGTCTCAGCGAGGCAACATATGTCGGTGGAGAGGGTTTCCAGAGTACGAGCAAGGGCTGCGTCCCTATCTGCATGAGCGTCCGGACATTAAAGGTGGTCAACTTGAATTGTGAACGGGGGGCTAGAAAGGTTTTGACTTCGCGATTGTGTGGCACATGGACGGTTTTGAACTGCTCATCGACATGGTTAGAACTGTCCCTCAAGGCGGCACGTTGTCCGAGACCCCATATCAGAGGGGGATTACCAAGAATGGGTGAATTCAACAAACGTGGAACAAAACATGCAGAAGGTGGTGCAGTAGAGCGTGGTTTAGCGGAGCCGGCCGCTAGTAATTCGGCCGAGGAAAGCGAAGACAGAAGGCGCAGATAAAGAGCGCAGTTACCTAGGTTCCTGTTCACATTGGTTAAGGTGTGATTTAAATTGCTTGCTTCGGAAATGAAACTTACTAACGACTAACCGACGAGTGTGCCTGGCAAAATTATCGTCCAGGGCTCTGACATTCGTTTTTAGGTCCACCGTTGCATGGTCACAGCGAACTTCGCCTGCAGTTCCGCGGAATAGAGACAGCCTCAATATTGACGGGCAACTAAATGGTGCAGCTCAAGCCACTCATGCTTGTTTCCCATCTGCCGATGCATGGAGAAAATGCAGATGTGAATGAGCAGTCTTGAGTCTCGGTGATCCATAGAGCCATGATTGGTGATTGGTTTAAGGGTTGCTCGAAGCCGACTGGCCAGTAGAGATAAATAGGAGAAATTGGCCCCCAGGAAGCTTCAGAAAAATGTCAGGAAAAGACCAGTGGCTTCAATCCTCAAATAGCGTGACAACTAGAAGTGACAGTTTATGGGATGTAAACTCAGCTCGACCGACGCAGGGGACGGGAGCCTTGGCCTCCAGATAACAGCGTAACATGCAGCTTACTGAGTTGCTACCGACCAACCCTAGCCAAGTAACGCATGACCAGAAAGGAGCGAGCCCGACAAAACTCGCCTGCGATTGGTCGTGGCCACAAGTTGGTCAACTAATGCGATTGAAAGGCAGATTGCCTCCAAGACATATTGAGGCTGATATCAAAAAGACTCAAGAAGTGAGAAACAAGAACCCCTTAGATGGAGCCGCTGTGAGAACGGAAGGCGCACAAACATTTGATACCCGCAATATTCGTTGCAACTGTCACTCCCACCCCATTTTTCTGCCAGTAAGAAACCAGCGCAAACTGCTATTCAAGTCGTGTGTCAGATTGAATAAGATCCAGGGTTCCAATCCAGACTGAGACTCCTCACATGCGCAGGCTATGTTGCGTCAGTCGATAGGTAACGCGCGCAGCTATTTTACGCTGGTTCCAAGGCCCATATACCCTACCAGAATAGTTTAGTTCAGTTAAATGACTGTGACGTGCACAGAGTGCTCAGTGGACACCCAACTGCTTGATTCGGGGCTCTTGATAATAAAGAATAACAACGATAAAAGGAAAAATTAAGGAGTAAAAAGAGAAAAAAACCTTGAACAGCGCGACTGGTGGTGGCCATGTGGCAGCGAAACGTCAGTATGGTGTGCGGGTGTACTGCTGATGCCCTTAAACCATACTGGAGTACGTAGTCCATGGACATTGGAAATGCTTGTCAACGTGCTGGTTCGAGTTCAGCACATTGATCAGTGCACAACCGGTGGATTAGTAGCTAATCGCCAAATGGTGGACATCAAAGTTGGATTTGAAGTATCTACCATGTGGCTGAGTTGCAACACGTAGTCTCTATTGAGACCTCGGTTCACTTTGAAGTAAACCTCCGGCATCTCGATCACATGGACCGTGTCCGAATTGGAGGTGTTTCGGAGGTCTCAATAGAGATTGGGTATCACAATCCAACCACACGGCGGGTACTCCAAATTCAACTTTGAATTCCTTACCGCTGTGCCAAGCGTTGCTCACGGATCTTAGAGGCATAGTGATCATGGCTTCGGCCCTCCAACGCCCTGCCGCGAGTTTCACTGCAGCTCAGGCTATCTTCATCTGATGAGTCCAAACGAGGACGAAGCCGGTTATGGGGTGCCAATGTTGGGAGGAGCAACAGCGAAACACATCCAATGGTGGACATCAAGTTTACCCATATGGAACTTTCATGGGATGTGAACCATGCTGCAAAAGCACTACCAGTGAAGGCTAGTAACCTATTCCTATCATCATCTAGGAACGAGCTTGTTTCTGATACGTACAGTAACAGGGACTGCTCGGAAAGATGGTATCAAGTCATCTTGCATGGAGGCAACCGGCAAAAATCATGCAACCCGTTGATAGGATAAAAAAGGAAACAGGGAATTTGAATGGTTGCCCAATGATGGTCACTCATAGCTGCTGGTTTGATCGAAAAATGGAGTGCAGAGCAATAACTGTATCTCACCAGTTGCGAGTTTAGAGGAAAGGTTTCCTTACTCGGTCCGGAGAATCGTAGGACGAAAATTTGAAAAAGCGAATTTCACAGGTAAAAGAATATTGACTACGATAAATAAATAAACTAATATGTCAGCTGTACGCCGTAACGGCGCTTCGCTGCCACGTGACCACCACGAGTCGCGCGTGGGATGAGTTAACTGCGAGGATGTCCACCACGCGCGGATTCGAACCGGTGATCTTATGATTGCAAGTCAGGCGTGCAGGTCACTAGGCCACCGGCCGACATCCACTACGATAATCAACTCCTGATGGTGAGCAAGCTTGTTTGAGTAAGCAGGTATAGTGGTAATGACAAACTGACATACCAAGAGACAAGAGAGTACACTTACCTGAGTGGTACAGCCCGTCTAACGCTCTGACTGGGCGTGGGATAGATTTGTGCACCGGACGAGACGATTGGACTAGATTGAATGCTGAGGCGATTTTGCTTGGTTGTCGCAAGAAGAGGTGGGGGAAGATGGTCTGAGGCAGAAACGGGTTGTGTGCTCGGAAGAAAGAAGGAACGGCGACAGGGTATGGTGTCTAATGTACCATCTGAAGGGCGCGTTAAATGAGCGACGGAAGTCTCGGTGATGGTTTGTATGCTGCATGCAGGTGTAACCTTCACCGCATCAAGAGTCACGGTACCCGAGGTAGGAGCTTGAACACGAATGGGGAGGGGCGGGATACCAGTGCGAGGAGATGGATTAGGTGGTTAAGTTGGGACAACTAGGCAATGATTGCACAAGTAGAAAGAAAACGCCGCCCAGTTTTTGTCCAGTAACGCTGTAATGAGTGATCCGATGGTCCGGTGAAGAACATCACACATGAACTCGGCTGCAGGATCGCTTTCGTCAGACAGACAGACGGAGACCGCTAAGTTGTAAACCATGGTTGAATGCAGCCAATCTTACAGTGTCATGCACGATACACACGAGTCCAGGGTAGGGTTGGTAGGCAGTTGTGATTCTACTCTTAGGGTTACAATTCTAGTAGAAACATATGTTTCATTGAGAAGGAGGGGTCACCATAATGTGCAAAAACCTAAACAAGCACATGCTGACCCGGTTCGAAGAGAAAGAACGGCGTGGCGTTATTACAATTGCTGATGCGAATCGTGGATGAATGGTGGAAATCTGTATTGCTCGGAAAAGCAGTCTTGTAGGTAAAAAATGTAAGCGACTAAATCAGTAAACATGCCGATGAGTGGATTTTCTCTTGGGATCACCCCAACTACCGGCTGTCACACCTGCTAACCTGGCTTGCCTTCACCTTCGCGGATTTACCCACTTTGCCAAACCCGGCCTGCCTTCTACCTTTCATATTCCCCCTGTGAAGCCCATGATCTCTCCCCTCGACGCTACCCTCCGTGAATTCTTCGTGATCGTGATCCGTAAGCACCTGTCCCACCATGCTTGTGTTATCCACCCCCTGCTGCACGCACCTGTCTTGCGGGTACGTAGTAGCAACTGAACCTGTGATTATGTGGTGACATATAAACGCGCGTGTGGCTTGACGCGTCGATGTCTACCTTTGTGTTCCGTCGCAAGCATGATGATTTGCAACTGTGTTAGGTGCATTGTGAAGACTTGGTTGTATTCCTACTGAGCCAATATGATTGAAGTTTGTGATTATTGCGTTTCTGACATTTTACTTTCGACCTTGTTTAGTCTGACTCGGGAGTACTAGGCGTTGCTCAAGTCCCAACTGAATTTGTCATTCACAACGCTAGTGCATGCTGAAGGCAGAATAACAATGCCTGACTTAGTCCTCACTAGGTAGATAATAACATCACCCACACACAAAATTTCGCAAAGCAACGACAAAGCAATTGGACGTCGAAGAGATAGCATGGGATCTCAGGAGAAAGCTACAACAAGCGACAGGGAACATGACATAAAACAAAAGTTTCGGAGATGAAGGGATGTGCTAGACCGGATCGAGTAAATAATCTCGAAAGACAGGCATGTTTACCGGTTTGAAACGTAGTGGAAGAAAAGTGACGTTCAGAAAAGAAATACCCAGGTGGCTTTCAGCAGGAGGCAATGTGTTAGTTATTAGGGTATGATGGTAGCTAGTAGTTCGTGTGAACGGAACCGACGTGGAACTAGAGAACAGAAAGTCAGTGAAGCGCAGCCCACTTGTGTGTGCAACGGTTGCTTGGATCAGAAGGATAAGACAGAAGTGGCTCGGCATAGCATAAGTGAGGCAGTGCGTGGTTGCAAATAAATGTGAGCGAATTGGCTCGGTCCACAGCGGGTGAACAACCTGAGTGCTAGCGAAATTCGGTTATAGAATAGAGTGCGACGGCCGCAAGTCAAATGAGCGAACGGACCTGACAAGAGAGACGGTGGACAGAACGTAAATCCGGTGATATCCAATATAGCTTATCAGTATTGCAGGGACCAGATATATAGCATGTACTTGTTTCAGCATTGTATTTAGCAGCCATGCACCTAGCCCAACCACTTGGTGGATTCTTTCAGCGCTATCTGGACGAGAACAGTTCCGACAAAGTGAAAGCGGGGTAATATCACCCTATTTACAAGGGGGAAGTCGATCTGAGCATACCAATTTCCACACGGTAAGGCATCTCTCTATACTCGCCAAAGTCTTGGAAGTGGTCATTGCAGATGCATTGATGGGCTTTGTGGAAAACTACGGCATCGTTACGCCGGAGCAGCACAGGTTTCGTCAACATCGACTATGTACCACGAAGCAGCTAAAAGAAACGACGGTTGGACCGAAGCAGTCGATGAGTGGAAATGAATTGATGTCATCAACGTGCTTTCCGAAAGCCTTCGATCGCCTGGATCATCGAATCCTGCTTCCCCAACTTCTGCAATACGACATCAGAGTTGCAGTAGTAGATTGGATCAAACTTTCTCCGCGAACGACAACTGGAGCTTAGAGTCCGAGCATACTTGTCCGAATAGATACGTGCGGATCGCGGCGTAACGCATAGCTCGGTACTTGAGCCTCATCTGTTCTTCGTCTTTATTAACGATCTAATGAGTTATCACCTTAAAATTTTCGCTCTTCGCGGACGATGTTAAAGTTTCGGGGACGATCAAGGGGTCGGACTATCACGAAGTCCTTCAGCACGACCACGATTAGGCCTTGAATCATCCGATAAGGAACGCGCTACCATTCAGTGTTGACAGGTGCCGCGTTGTGCACATCCGCTATCGATACGCCTACCTCTACAAGCCTGGGGTGCACGATCCGAAGACCAAATCTCAGGAACGTGACCTTCGTGTGCTGGTGCAAGACGACCTCTATGGTCAAATGTAGGCTGAGTCAGCTTCAAAAAGAAGTAACCAGCATGTTAGTCGCTTGCGGAGGGCGTTCGGAAGTTTGGATTCATCCAACTCACTGATGTTCAATGCCTACGTGTGTTCCCACGTCGAGTATGCTATCCAGGTTTGATAATCTTGGCTAAAGCGTGACATCGCAACGCTCAAAGCTACCCAACGTCGGACAAGGAGAACTCTCAAGAGTTTGCGCAACCTTTCATAACTAGAACGAATGAAGATACTCGAAGTATTCAGTGGACGCTAATGGCGGCTACGTGGAGACCTCATATTAGTTCAGAAAATACTGAGCAACTCGTCACCGCCGCCGCCTTTAGAAAATCATCCCCAACATCAAACTCGTAGTCAATAGCCGGAGACTGAGAGATGGAGACAACATTCGCTAAGCCCATGTGATACCACATGGCAGAACTACAGAACAATAAGAAAGTACTGCAGGTCGCAAATCAGAGTCGACAAGTACCGATGGCAGGAGACCATGGTACTGAAGTTTACGCGTAACACCAAACTACTACGCAGATATGTGAATGGCAAAAAAAGGTTAAGCCTGGAATACCACCACTCAAGACGGCTAGTGGCCTAACAACTACTGCTGTGGATGCCGCGAACCCTTTACTCCTACAGTTTGGCTCAGTGGTTCTAAATATCATGGAACCTTCGCCATATCAACTCCCAACAAATGTCGTTGGCCTATCCAGTGTCATCTTTACTCCAGCAGCTGTTGCAAGAAAATTACAGTCTCTCCGGGAATACAGTGCCCCTGAAATCAACAAGATCTTCCCTAAAATACATAAAACCTTCGCTCCCACCATAGCAGTACCACTTGCAGCCTTTTTCCAGGATCTGCTTGACTCCCATACACTCCCACCTGAGTGGGGAAATAGAATTATCTTTCCAATACACAAAGCAGGTAAGCGATCGGATCCCGCCAACTACTGACCGATTACTCTCCTTCCTGTTTTATCAAAGGTGATGGAAGCAGTAATCGCGGATTAACTGCTGCGATACTTTGAAAGTGTACAAATAATTTCTAATGCCCAACATGGTTTCAGACGCAGACGATCTTGTTTCACCAATTTACTGCTTACTCGGCTGATGAAGAAGTCCCCATAGAGGTGATTTACTCAGATATTTTAATGCTTTCGACAGGGTCAATCACTTCGCTCTACGCCAAAAGCTTGCTGTCTACGGTGTCACCGGTTCCCTGCTCATCTGGTTAGAAGACTACCAACAGAACAGAGAAATCAAGGTAAGAGTAGCCGACACTCACTCCTAAAGCATGTGGCGTACCGCAAGGATCCACCCTCGGCCCGCTACTGTTTTTAATCGACATCAATGACCTCCCAGAGAACATTCTATCCCGATGCCAATATTAGAAGACGATGCTAATATATGGACAGCAGTTCACACAGCATCCGACCGTGTCTATCTTTAGGACGATCTGGCTCGGATTAACGAATGGGCAAAAAGGAATCAGCTCCCACTGACCCCCGCAAAGTACTACCTGCTGAAGGTGCGCACCAACTGCGTCAACGCATATCTTTTGGTGCAACACGTCCTGCACCACATGATTAGTGAACGCGACTTAGGTATAATCGTGCAAGAGAGTCTTGGAAATTCGCTCCAATGTTCGAAAGCAGCCACTGTGACGAAATTGAACTTGATGCTTTTGAGGCGAGCTCTCGGCAGCTTTGAGCAACGGCTAATACCATTGCTGATTAACTCCTATATTCGTTCTCACGTTGAATATGCAATTCAGGCCTGGTTTCCATGGTTCAAACAAGGCATTCGCCCTTTGGACCAACCCCAAAGAAGAGCCACACATGCAACGCGTGGACTATCCGGTCTCAGTGACGAACTGTGCTTTCGTTTACTCGGTGTGTTCTCCTCAGAATACCGAAGGCTTCGCAGAAATCTCATTCTCACATACCAGATACTAATGGAAAGCGAGCACCCATGTACATCAATGCTGACCCTAGCCTCCTACAAACAATACCGAAGCAACCGCCTGAAACTGATGACGCAACACTCCCGTTTGAACCGTAGAAAGTATTTTTACTCACTTAGAATCTGTTTCCAATGGGATGCACTGCCAACACATGTGGTGAACGCACCAGACATTATTACATTCGTAAGACTATTAGACATTCATTTTAGTGATAAACACTACACAATAGTTTGATAAAATGCAATGGCTTTACTGTTAAAAACTCATATTCCATCCTGGAACATTTTAATTTTAATTTGTTTTTGCATGTCCATCCTGTGGGTCTTGTAAAGTTATGCCTTTTATCCCATCATACACTATTGAAGTATTGAGTCAACAATTCCGTAGTCAAGGTTGTC